TTTTAACATGTAATTGCATTCTCTGAGACAAGCAACTAAAATCTTAGATAAGATCCGTTGCATTAGTTAAGTTTTTTTCCAATTTATCTGGGATCTTTGACAAGATCAGGTCAATTTTTTGTCATCGTTGTATTGATCATGCGGAGGAACCCCAAAAGACGACGTATTTCTATCTGAGTCAAATGAAGACACATCTTTTGATATGATCATTTGTCGTATAATTTTTATGTTCACAGCTGTGAGTACTTTCCCATTACCAAGGTTGTCCTAAAATGTATTCATGTAAATGATTCTTCTAAGAAAAATGTATAAAGAAATATGGCCGAACACTTTCAAAAATGAATAAACAATCTTAGGGAGATTTCATGTTAGGAAATGATAAAATGATATAAGTTTTTTTTTTATTTAAATCTCATAATAATATTTTTTTCGGGGGGGGGGGGGTGCACGTGGTGTATAAACAGATCCCGATCAAACTATTTCAACTCTAACAAAGATATATGTGTCCTCGACATTCCGAACAGAAAACAGTGCTTTTAATGCACATTTAAGCAATAAATTAAACAAAAACATGTCCCAAAAGAAGGATGCGGCAAAGCGATAAAGTGTGTCTTTTATGTCATCCATTTTACTGAACTGCACACCACAGAAGTTTTAAAATAAGCATGAGCATAAATCAAAACAGCTGGATGATTTTATAATTGACTTTTGTACATTTCTGGTCTCTGTTTGTTAATCATCATAATACGTTGACAGTGATATGTATCCAGACACAAATGGTCATTACAGGGCTATGCATGCAGAAAATGAACCTTACGGATTGTTATTTTGAAATTTATTGCAAAAGTCTTCACCGTATGTTGACATATATTAGTGTTAGAATACCTCTTACTTTATCATGTTTCTTTATGGTGTTCTTGCTAAATGATTGATATTTCAAACATGTAGATAAAAATAATTAACACGACCTGTTTAATTGTGAAATGATTGTTTTACACTTAACAACTTATAACAAGATTCAAAGGAGAAAAATGGGTGAGTATGTCAGAGATACTGCGCAAGGCTAGCACTAAGTTTCAATTGTTATGGAGAACAGCTGTGGTTGTGGCAAAAGCTGCATAAAATGTGCTTGACAAAACCAAAATCTAATATTTAATTGACCGTTTTCTCTAGAAACAGGTGTTTAATGCAAATTATGTTTGGGTTATTTAGAAGTAATATTTTTTTCTTATTCAAAGCACACATCAATTTCAGAGAACAGCTGGAATGAATATACAATTTAACAAAGTATGTAACAAATATGAAATTTGTTTCAAAATTTGACCCGTTTTAGAAATTCTTATTATTGATGAGTAGCGACAGAAAAAATGACAACAATTTCCTTGCTACCGAACCCACCAATAAGAAGGTGTCCCGGAATGTTTGAATGTCAAATAACGTAGATCCTACAGCTCTGTAAGGGTTCGTGATTGATAGCCACAGATTCCTCTCTTTAAGTTAATTATGAAATAAATAAATAAATTTATTTTTTTATACATCACTTATTTCTAATGAAGATGTGTGTTTGGATATGTAAATATCAAGCCATAAACTCCGTAGAAAATCACACAATTGACGAAACTGATTTTCGTGATCTCCATTTGCTGAGAAGGATCTAAAACTAAATTATGAAAGATTATTTTAAGAATGAATTTTCAACCAAAAAAAAAAAAAAAAACAAAACATGTAAAGGTTTTTGACTAATTAAGTTCTTTTTTTCTTTTTAAATGTAAGTTATTAACCCTATAAATTTCATTAGCTGTTTCTGCTATTTCTTGTTCCTGCTTTGAGTTTCTTAAAAATAGTTTTCCAGCTTAATTTTGGTAAAAGAGGGAATCCGCAAAATATCAAAGATTATTATAGTGCATCATTCCTCTGAAACCCAAATTCCTGTAAAGGATCTATTATAACTGATGATAAGCATATCTAATGAATGTCACAGTAACTGCCCAGTCTTTCTTGATTAGAAATCCACAAATGCAATTATACTTGAGATTTTTTTTCACATTTTACATTGTTCATTTTTACCATAGCATCCTCTTTTTTCATGGGAACGGATAATGAAAAAAAAAGAGAATTTATTTCAAGATACAATAACGGAAGAAATATTTCTGTGTTTCTGTGTTTTTGTCCTGTTTACGATTTGTTTTGTTTTGTTAAATGGATTTATGAAGATATTTCCTTGTTTTTGTTCTGTTTACGATTTGTTTTTTGGATTTATGAGATTGATCACTATTCGTTATCTTCACATGTATCTCTGCTGGTGGACAACCTGCCCCCCCCCCCAAAGGATACTTGTCCTTCCATATATAATAGAAAGATTAAGAATTCCACACTAGCTGACTTGTCGTTTAGTGTAAAGAGGTGTCACTCTGTTGAGTCTACAAGAGGCACAACCTCTAACAGAATGGTTGGTGCCCCTCGAGTTGTCCTTCGAGACTGTCTTACATACATTATACAGATAACCAGTTCTGGTATAAAACATACAGCAACTTTACTGGAATACAAGATTGTAAACTTTCAACCAGAGATGTTTTTGACGATTCAAATTTGGAGAAAATGTATTTCAGTCCCAAATGTTGTTCAAAAATTTGTAAAACCTGTGATATTTTGATAACCAAATTTGTTTTAAATACGAACTCACAGGACAATGTTTTAATACCAAAATTTGAGAAGATCTGAGCTGCAAGTCTTCTAAAGTTGCCTATGGAATTGAATGTAATCTTTATGACCTTACTTATGTGGGAAAACACAAGGGCTGACTCAGCAAGAGAATTTCAGGACCTAGATTTCAAATAAATAATGGGAATGGCAACATCTGAATGAACATTTCAATTTTCCCGACCATCCTGTTGTTTCTATGAGGCTCAGAAATTTAGGAAAAAAATATCCACCCCACAATTAGCCCTACTTTAAATACTCCATTCTGTTGACAACGAGAGTACTGGATTAGGAAGTACATTTCCATATGGTTGAAATGATCACATTAATTATGTAGGAAATTCAAGCCCACAGTGTACAATGTGAATGTGATGAGAGTTTTTAATAGAACACCAAGACGTAAGCGCAGTCATCGACATCGTTCATACAATAAGCCAAATATACACGATGTTTCATTTAATTCGCTACTACCTTTCGACAATAAACAATTAGCTCTCATCACATTCGCACTAAACTTTACTCTGCGCCCTTGAAACTCGTATTATTATGGATTATCTGAGGAAGCTAAAGTAAGTCCGTACTTAGATTCTACAGACTAAAGGTCAAAAGGTCGTATGTTCGAATCACGGCCGCGACTGACCTAAGTTGATAAAAAAAAATAGGTAACAAGTGTTCCTTCGCCAAGCACTTTGAAGTGAAAGTTGAGGGTCCTTCGAATGAGACCTTAAAGACCGAGGCCCGTGTCACGACAGACGTTGGCACAATAAATATCCCTCAATATCAATGGCCCTGAGTGCCGAGTAAAGGTCTAAATTTGAAGCCCTTCATCGGTATATGGTGACGTCTCTACATGGGTGAAAAATTCTCGAATGGGACGTAAAACAACAAACTATCAATCAATCGATGGATCAATCACGAGAACATGCACTGAGTACGATTAATTGTTAAATCGAGGCAAGCTACTGGCAAATAAGTTGTTACAAGGATTTCACAAACCCGTTTAAAGTCATTTTTCGCAGATTTTGTGGTCGATACATTGAACTAGTGAGCAAATACAATCCATCATTAAGTCGAATGCTGACTGACGCTTTCATACCAATTGTTAGACCATTACTCACACACTGAATTGTTTAAGGATTTTTCCGTTTTCCCGATCATGAAAACGAGCACACCGGTTGACAGGTAGTACAATCAATTGTTAAACCGAGGCAAGCTATTGGCAAATAAGTTGTTACAAGGATTTCAGCAATAATCTTCTCTACAGACAAATAAATTCACTTTTTTGAATTTTCCGTCTTCCGACAGCCATGTTGACTTACTGACAATATCTCTAGATATGTCTGCAGATACGACTATAAAGGGTAAGGAGGTGGATAAAATATACAGGTTGGTAATAGAATATGTCTAGAATTAAGGAATGAAAGATAGTTGATTAACCAATGCTGGAAAGTGGAGAAATACATCTCTAACCGTGCGCAGAAAATATTGCGCTGTAAATTGCACTTTTTTTGGCATTACGGGATCTGTAGCGTTATGGTCAAAGGCTAAAATATAAAACCATAACGCTTCAGTTCTGCATCAACTTTTAAAACAAACAACCAGACCAGTGTTTTTACAACAATTAACACCCAGAACAAGAAATCTGAGCAGAGTAGACACACCAATCAAAAATTAAATGAACCTAGATATAACGTAAAAATGCATTTCGTGGTGAAAAAGACCGTCGGGTTACGGAAAACGGAATTCTGGATAAACGAAACAAAATGACGTTAAAAAATTCCGTTCCCATGAAAAATAGTCCGGAAGCTGAAGTGTCCGGATATCCAAGGGTACACTGTAATATTAAAAATCGAAATTGACATTTTTAATTCATAAAATATGGAAGTATTCCTTCATTAAAAGGTCCTTGACATGAAATATTATATGTGTCTAAAGCATTTGCTTTGTATTTTTTTCAACATAAATCTTCATGACGTTCCGGTAAACATTTTGGAATATTCTACAATCAATTATAAGCAACATAAATTTGTTTTGAAAAAAGGGGATTGTTAAGTTTCAATTCCTATTTTAAAATAGTAAAGAGAACTTGACCTTTACGTATCGTGATAGTTTGTCACGTTGATTTTCGATTTGTTTGTACAATTCTATTTAATTGTCAAAAAAAAAAAACATCAATCAATTTGAATTAGATACCTAGGCCTTGAAAACAGAAAGTATGTTTACATATTATTTAGGCTTTTGTAAGGTGATGCAGCACATTTTGACCAGTAATATAAATAGGTTTATTTTCTTCCTTGAAGCCTGCCTTAAGGTATACCCCGTCCCAGCCATGGTGGCTTCCAGGAATGTTGGGTTCCCTTCGGGACACTCCAGACTTCGGAAAATACTCACGCTTCTCCTCTTTTTCTACATTTGCACGGTCCACCACGGCATCAGAGATCACCAAGGAGCCGTCAGAGGAGAACCTCCGGCGGAGGAACACAGTGGTTGTCATACTAATGATCATTGCAGTACTGGCCGCCATTGCTGTCATTCTTGGCATTACGCTCTACTTTCTGTATCATAAAGGTATTTTACCAATTAGAAACACTTCCTGTACAAATTGTTAATGAACAAAATCGTCATCAAGCTTACGTCATCATAATCACCAGGATTAAATAACCAACACTATTTCCTATAGTTTAAATAAAAGAAGTTGTACGACTGACTTTTAAATTTATTTACAGCAATAATCCGAGCCCACATAGATTTAACCATTCATAATCGTAATTTCACTGACGCAATGGACAACCACACATCATCTGATTTCAGAAACATAGCTGAACCTTTATGTGATGAGGCGAGTTAAATTATCTTATTTGTTGCGCATGAAATTTCTGTCAATTTATTGACTCTAAATATTCAAACTAATTGTGTTGTATATTTTGCAGATGGACAAATATTTCTTTACCAGTAAATTCAAATATTTCTACCTCCAGTGCAAAGTTCATGACCTCAAGTAAGTCACAGATCCTGAATGAAGCAACATTCGATTTTTTCTTTAATGTTAAACCCAAGAAAGTACTCACCAGTTTTCAATCTATTTACAGGGATAATGCCGGGAAAGTAGGTGTATACTTTACAGTTGACTTTCTGGACAATATTTACACACAGAACGTTAAGGACATACAGGATGTTATTCTGAAGAAGTCTGGACGATTAGTAAAGGACAACGCCCTATTCCTTGTCATCCGGGACTTCTTGGTTTATATAAAGAGCTTCGGCATACGACTGGAAAAGATTCCTACAGACGGACCAATCAACTTGCCCCGTATTCCATTCTACGGTACCGTATAATACAATGATTCCTTCGTGTTTTTGTCTCCATTTTTGGATTTTAAAAATCTGTGTCTGTTCATCCTGATAAAGAAAATGCCTGTTTTATATTACATCAATACATGCAAGGTAAAAGGTGTTTGCAATTTGCATGAAATATTGCTTTATTTGGTATCATTAATTTTTTTTTTCATTATGATTTATTCAGAAACATGCCTATTGTAATATCTAAATAGAATTAATATTTTGTTTCACTTAATAATCACCTGAAGCTTGCTTATACATGTAAAAATAAGCAAAACATAAGGGACTAATGGAATATATCATTACCAACTGAATTCAATAAATTCACCATCAGCGGACAGTACTCTTACTATTTTGAGTACGGAGAAAACACCAGCGGATGAAATCACATCATCTACGGTTAAACCAGCACCAAAAACAAGTAGAATTCCAAATTCACAAGCAGAAATACTGGCCACAAGCGTGGGAACAAATGCCACCACACCTATGACGTTAACAACTAGTGTAGAGCCATCTCTAAGAGTAGGCGCACTTAAAAAAGAGACATCTACAATTTCTACCACTACCGAGAAATTAAGTACAGCCCAAACTCTGTCGTCAACTTCTAGTAAAGCACCATCTTTGAGAACTGGAACGCTTGAAGTGGATACCACTTCCACGACCACTACCACTACCAGTGCGTCCACTGCATTACCTCCGCTGTCAACCACTATATATAATCCTAACTTTTGGGATTTATTATTGAACAGATACGGATTAAGGGAAGGTGTCGTGGAAGAGGGTTCATCCCTTCCAAAGCCGCCGAAGAAACCTGGTGAGAATGTGCACAACTATCACCTAGACTCCTCTAGACGCCATCTTCCCAATAATCAGCTTTCGTAGAAGCGTACCTCCAGCACCTAGATCTCAATATTCATTTTTGTAACAGTTTTGCCTTGCGTAGATTGTTCATGTAGTCTTTTACTAATAGCAGTAACGGTGCAATTATTAATATTTATTTATTAATACATGTTTTTGTGGAATGTTTTGTAGGTGTCGAATTTAAGGATTTTATCTCTTGTTTATCAATGTTAAAATAAACATTTTTCATTTGGTTCCGTATTAATAAATTTGCGGATTATCGACAACACTTAAAATATTTGTTTAGCAAGGAAGACTTCTTTTACAACTTTTACATTAAGCAGTTACTTTTTCCCCTTTTGTAAACAGCTTAAATAAAATTTGTTGTCTCCGTAAAGAGTTTGTTTTTGTTAGCATGTGTAAATTTATATATAAATTCAATGCATAGAGAATTATATAAACAAACGAATTGTCCCCATTTATAAAAAATATCAAAGTTACAAACCAACTTAAGTAAGTATGATATATGGTGATGGCGAACATTAAAGAAATTTACATTACATATATTACTTATATGATAGAAAGTAAACAATGTCTTTTGAGAGAAAGTGCATCTTGTTGTATTAATTGAATGAGAAGAAATGATAAAGTTAACAAAGATAAATATTCTTTTTTAAAATTATAGATGACAAATGTACAGAAGAACCCTGTAAGAATAATGCCACATGTATAAGTAATGGTCCCACTCTCTATAGCTGTATCTGTGCAAGAGGCTGGAAGGGAATACGCTGTGAAACAGGTATATTACATCAGATCTATATCAGATGCATGCATTCCAGAACTATTGCAGAATCTTTTAATAATACAATGATTAAAAAATCATAACAATGATACTGTACAAAATTTTAAAAAGAATTTTAAAAAACAACCAAATTAAACATATACAGAATTATAAGTAATCATTTGTGAATTTGTATTTAGATATCAACGAATGTACGAAATATCCCTGCAAAAATAACGGGACATGCATTAATACTGATGGAAGTTATCTTTGCCTCTGTGATGAAGGATGGACAGCCCAAAATTGCACAAAAGGTAGAGAGATAAAAGTTATAGAAATTCTACATTTTAAAGTTACATTTTATCTATGGAAACGCCTTAAATGAACAATTCACTATTTTTTTTTATGGTTCATTATTTTTTTAAGATGTAAACGAGTGTGAAAAATCACCTTGTCATAATAATGGGACCTGCATAAATACTGCTGGATCTTATTTCTGTGTTTGTCCACCGGGCTGGACGGGACGCAACTGTTATAATGGCAAGTGAATGTAAAACAACATACAGAATGAACATAACCTCATAAGTTTAAGATTTATACATACAACTCAATTATCCTTTAATGTGGAGATAAGTTAAAAAATTTAAAAATATAATTTTATTGAGCAAATCTTTAAATCAAGAAGTAGGGCTTACTTTTATTCAATCTTTTTCCGAAGATGTCCAAGAGTGTTCTACATTAGACCCTTGTCAGAATAACGGTACCTGTCTAAATAATAATGGCTCTTATGTTTGTCAATGTATGGAAGGCTGGCAGGGACAACATTGTCAAGATGGTATGATTTACGGATGCCCAAAACATAATAACATGTCAAATATTTGAATTGAATTATTTCAATATAAAAATTTATGAAAAAATAATCCAAATATCTGATAAAACTTGAAATTAAATCAGAAATGTTAGAAACAGAGCTATTTTTAAGTTTCTGGATATTTACAGATCAAAATGAATGTCTTTTGTCTCCATGTCAACACAATGGTAGTTGTACAAACATCCCAGGTTCCTACACATGCAATTGTACTGACGGATGGCAGGATAAACATTGTCAAAAAGGTACTAAAACATACATCAAAGTGATATATTCCAATAATGTACTTTTCCCATGTTTAAAGTACAAAACATTTTTATTCTACATTTCAAACACATTTTGTTCTTCTTTGAGGTTTTATAGTGGTGAATATTGAATAATCATTAATGAGTTCACATGCATTATTCATTTTTTTCCTTAATATTTCCCAGACGTGAATGAATGCAACAGTTCCCCTTGTCATAACAATGGAACGTGTATTAACAATGAAGGATCATACACGTGCAACTGTACAGAGGGCTGGAGAAACAAAAACTGTGAAGCTGACATCAATGAATGTTCAGAAACCCAACCGTGTCAGAATAATGGCACTTGCTACAACAACGACGGCTCATATACCTGCAGCTGTTTAAAGGGCTGGCGGGGTCAAAACTGCCAAGATGGTAAATTATGAAATACTTCTACGAAAATAAAATAGAAAAAAATACTGATCAATGTTCAAATTGAAGGGTTATATGTGTAAGAGTAGAGCTTTAGTTTTTGTAATATTTGTTTTTAGATCAGGATGAATGTGATTTATATCCTTGTCAAAATAATGGTACATGCGTAAATAGCATTGGATCATATGACTGCATCTGTACAGAAGGATGGCAGGGACACACTTGTAGTAAAGGTAACGATGCCATCTGTGTTATCAGAAGTTACCTGAGTCACTTGAGTAATAATTTACGCGATGATTTAGCACACTTCAGACATTAATGTCAATGACCCTTTTCATTTTTATAAACAAAAACCCTAGAAAAATAAGAGATGTGTATATAATTTGCAGATATTGACGAATGCGTAATTTCCGATCCCTGTCAAAACAACGGAACATGTATAAATAATAATGGCTCTTACGTTTGTGATTGCACAGAGGGTTTTATTGGAAGGCATTGTATGGAAGGTGAATCTAAATAATCCTACTTCATAATGACCAATTCGTCATCTTGATCATTTATCATTTTATTTATGAGGTAAACCGGACATAAAAAAAACCGATTTAATCTGGTAAAGAATAAATCAACAATTTAGAAACAAGGAAAAATCCTATTTGTTCAATTCTTCATCCAAGAAATCTATAGTATTTTGATAAATGACCAGTCATTTTTCATCTTAATTTTGCAATAAATTTAAATAACAACTTTTTACGTGTCATTTTTAGTTTATGATTATACTCAACTCTTATATTTTGATAAATTTAAATTGACGTGAATGTTTCATTGGATGTGTGTTTTTTCCTTTCAAAGATAGAAACGAATGTGAAAAACTTGGATTGTGTGAGAACAGTGGAACCTGCCACAATAATAATGGCTCTTACGTCTGTATGTGTATGGAGGGCTGGCAAGGACAACATTGTGAAAAAGGTGCATACAGATACAGTACATAACATATAGATGTATATAGTATTTATTTGTGACTGTATTTTTCATATAGAGATTACAGAAAAAATGTTTTCGCCATTTTTTAAAGTTTTATACCATAAACTATTTTTTGTGGGATCATGAATTTCTTCGGATAAATTATATTCCATTCTTTCATATTTTTAGATAAGGACGAATGCAAACAATTTCCTTGTCAAAACAACGGAACATGCATCAACACTGTTGGCTCATATATGTGTAATTGTACCCAAGGATGGTCCAGTCAAGATTGTCAGATAGGTACTACCAATTGGCAAATTGCCAAAAAAAAATTACTTAAAATTATTAACATCGTTGTGTCAGATAAAACTATATCAACTTTAATATAGATGTGGACGAATGCAGAGACACAGATATATGTCAGAACAATGGAACCTGTCACAACAACAATGGCTCCTATACGTGTGAATGTATGGAGGGCTGGCAGGGCCAGCATTGTCAGGAAGGTGAGTGAGGGGATATTGGAAATTTTGAGTGCTTAGTGTAATAAAAGCGGACTTGAAGGAAAAATATTGAAATGATATGCAGTTTGGACACTTTATTGTTTCAGATATAAATGAATGTGATGTTAAAGGACTGTGTGAAAATAACGGAACATGTGTGAACAGTGATGGGTCTTACTCTTGTATCTGCTCTCCAGGATGGCAGGACATACATTGCCAACAAGGTATCCATCGGTTTAGCATGTTATGTTCATATTTATCATAATAAGGACTTCGTCTATGTGTACTATGGAAATTTTATTTATAAGATGTAATGAGTCGATTTCCAGGTCACCTCTGAATAAATTTACCTCTTTGATTGTAGAATTTTGCATTTGATTTATAAAATGTACCAACGTCACGTGTTCCTTTAATCTTTTCTTTTAGATATAAATTTATTTTTTACAAAAAACCCCCAAAGATTTAAGGATACATTTGAAATAATAGTTAAGTATAGTTTTACAATAATCAACATTTGTTTTAGATGTAAATGAGTGTAGATTATTTCCCTGCCAAAACAACGGAACATGTATCAATACTGAAGGATCCTACACGTGTAACTGCACAAAAGGATGGAGTAACGCAGACTGTTTAGAAGGTGAGGGCATTTAATATCATTACATCACAGTTAAAATAAGAAACTAATGATGGGACGATATTAACAGTATATCTTAACTAATAACGGGGCCAAATCAACAGTATATAGGAAAATATCTTAACTTCCTTCAATAATGATTTATTTTTCATTAAGATGTGTAATAATCTGTAATAATCACTCTCCTTTACTATGAAACAACAAAAATCAAGAGAGCAACATGTGATTTTTTTAGAAGACGAATAAATAATCAAATCAAATTAAAGGAAATTTATTTATTGAAAACATTTTCCTATCTTTTTTGAAATAATAATTCACGGTAAATCAACTATTTGAAAAAGAATTTATTTTATTATCGCATCTGAGAAAAAAATTATCTTGTTCTGAAGAATAAGTACTTTGCAAATTAAAAAATACAAAAAGCCCTGGTTATCATAAAATTTCTAAATGCGTCATATTAAATACTAACGCATTCTCATTCACAAAAATATCCGAACAGTCGCTGTCGCTTTTCGAGGTTAATCATATTTTTTGGTTCTTTTACTCAAATTCATATTACGATATGATTGTTACTTACAGATGTAAATGAGTGTATGCAGTTTAGCCCATGTCAAAATAATGGTACATGTGATAACAATAATGGTTCATACACTTGTCAATGTACGGAAGGCTGGGAGGGACATGACTGTGAAAAAGGTTTCTATTATTTTTATTTTTGTAAATGTGGATTTTGATTTAAAATAAGGAAAAGTGTGGAAAAAAATTTATCATAATTTCAACAAAATTACAAAATTAATATTTAGCTTTAAGAAATAATTTTAATTTAAGTATAATATACAACACTATGGAGTTAAAAAGAATAGTTTTCATTTAGCTCGGCTTCATGTATTTTTCCATTCTTAAATTGGTAACAGTGCAAACCTTGTTGTGACCATCTTTCTTTGTTAATTTTCCCTTTCGAAAAGTTGTGACTATGCAGTATGTTTATATAACAATAATAACGTATTATATCTGCAACATATACTATTAACAAATTAATATTTCAATTTTTTAGATATTGATGAATGTGAAAAGTATGGTCCCTGTCAGAATAACGGTACTTGTAACAACAGTGCCGGCTCCTACATATGTAATTGTACGAAGGGTTGGCAGGGACATAACTGTGATAATGGTGAATACTTTTATTTTTAAGAATTTTTTTAAAACGATGAAATAATTGAGAACAGGATATTTTATTTCATTTTCATAATTAAGGTATTATTCATAATAATCTTGATAAATAACGAATATGAATTATATAAACTTATACCTGCACATCATTTAAAAATAACGCTGTATAAATTGGAATGTTTGATTTTGTACCATTATCTTAATAAATTGTAGATATTAACGAATGTGACGTCCTGAATCCTTGCCTTAACAATGGCACATGCAATAATAATAATGGTTCTTACAAATGTGTCTGTACAGAGGGTTGGCAGGGACATGACTGTGAAGAAGGTATTTTTTCTTTTGAAATTAGATTTTAATGTAATGAATTTAATATGGGTATTTTTTAAATCTTTGGACTGAGTTTACCAGTAACAAATATGAAGGGTGATGTATTTCTTTTGACGGCTGTTAATTTATCAAAATTACAGATGTGAATGAGTGTAATTTTATCAGTCCATGTCATAACAATGCAACATGTATTAACAACAATGGATCTTACATGTGTAATTGTACGGAGGGCTGGCAGGGACAACATTGTGACCAAGGTGAGTTTAGTGCATAAGAATCTTGATTCACACATATTATAACCTGTCCCATACAGTGCGTAAGATTGAATCAACTTCTTATTTTTTTTTATTTAAATATCATCTCTATGATCTTTTTCAGATATTGATGAATGTAATCTCTTTCCTTGTGAAAATAACGGGACTTGTATCAACAATAATGGCTCTTATACATGTAACTGTATGGAAGGATGGACGGATAAAGATTGTATAAATGGTAAAAATATGTAACTTTACATAAGTAAATATCATTGTAAGCTTTGGATATTGAATCTAAGATCCCATTACCTGTAATATTTTTGCAAAATATTTTAGATATAAATGAATGCGAAAAGTTTCATCCATGCCACCACAATGGTACTTGTATCAACAATAATGGATCCTATTTTTGTAACTGTATGGAGGGCTGGCAGGGACATGACTGTGAAATTGGTATTTGTCTGAAAATAAATGTGTATTGAATATTCATGGATTGTATAAATTCAAAACATTATATTCCTTACATTTTTATGCTGTAGATCGCTTGGAATGTGAATCATTTCCTTGTGAAAACAATGGCACTTGTATCAACACTCTTGGATCCTATAGTTGTAATTGTACACAAGGATGGAGTAACAAAAACTGCAAAGAAGGTACGAATCTATATCATTAACTGAATTTGAAATATTATCGGCATATTCATTTTTTTTTTCTCTTTACAGACAGGTAATATTCTCGCTGTAATTGATTAATTTAATTAATATATCAATATATTTTAAGGTTTCAAGCAACATTTTAAGTCTTATGTTTAAACATGATATCATAATGATTGCTTTCAGATGTTAACGAATGTGAACAATTTAGTCCATGTCAAAACAATGCTACATGTTTAAACAATAATGGGTCATATACATGTGATTGTACGGAAGGCTGGCAGGGACATGATTGTGATAAAGGTAATATTAACTTTCAGCTATCGTTGCAGCATGTGCTTATCAATAAATAAAATAACCCCTTGTTTTGATGAAGAAAATACACTTCCATTCCAGACATCGACGAATGCATTGAGTTTAGTCCATGCCATAACAACGCAACATGTATAAATAACAATGGGTCCTTCGTATGTAATTGTACACAAGGCTGGCAGGGACAACATTGTGACCAAGGTGTTAATTTAATGTTACAAGAACTGAATACATGTAGAATGATATATAATTCAAGTGGATTTGTACACCCAATGTATACCAGACTTCTGAATGTTCTCTTTGTCTTCCTGTAGATATTGATGAATGTGATTATTATCCCTGTGAGAACAACGGGACTTGTATCAACAATAATGGATCTTATACATGTAACTGTACAACTGGGTGGACAGATAAACACTGCAATGAGGGTAATTTGTCATCATAATTGAATTAATAATGTTTCTTTAGTTAGAAAATTAATAAGAATTTTCTTTAACATTAATATTTTTCCTTCAGTTAATTTATATTAATGAACTATATTTTGGATTGAAGCACTTATTATTTCATAACGTTTTAGATGTAAATGAATGTGACCAGTTTAGTCCATGTCAAAACAATGGCACATGCTTTAACAATAACGGTTCCTACATATGTGAGTGTATGGAGGGCTGGCGGGGAAATGACTGCGAAAACGGTAGGAATTCCCTTTTGAAATGTGTTAGAAGTTATTTAAAAGAGATCAGAATTTAACTATTTGAAATATAAAAATTATAGATATTATTCTAGTGTAATATTCATTATCTAAATTATGTTTCAAGACATAAAGACTTAACCATATGTTTATGAAACTATTGCAAAGAATTTATTTCTCGATGCAAATTTGCATTCTAGATGTTGACGAATGTGCAGTATTTATGCCATGTAGCAACAATGCAACATGTGTAAATAACAATGGATCTTACGTATGCAATTGTACAGAGGGCTGGCAGGGACATGACTGTGAAGAGGGTATTTATTTTATACAATTATTACATAATCTTTAATAAAAAGATTGAACTCAAACTATATTTCTCAAGTGAATTAAATAATGCTAAATAGGCCATTTTATATTGGAGTAAGGAAAAAGTGTAAATATTTTTTATCGTGAAGCTCACAAATTCACCTTATTTTTTGAAGACGTTGACGAGTGTAAAATATTCTTGCCATGTGCCAACAATGCAACGTGTATGAATAACAATGGTTCCTATATCTGTAAATGTACGGAGGGTTGGCAAGGACAGCACTGTGACCAAGGTAGGATTCTTATAGTGTTCTAATCTCAGATTTAATGCCTTACTCACCCCAGTAAGTGCTCATTTCCCCTCACTTATTCCCATTGTAAATTTCAATATGAAAATTAACGTGCCCACTCCTAACCATCCCACTATCCCAAATGACAATCTAAATTAAAATGCAAAATTCTCTGTATTTAAAACGTGAAATTCTTAGCTAGCAAAAACATATTCCAAAAACAAATGTAAATTAAAAAAAAATATTTTCGAAGTTGTAATTTGATTAATTCTTAATAATATACAAAATATTGAGAAGATAAAAAAGTGTTTTATACAACTACAGTATCTTTAAACATTTTTACTTTCAAAATATCACTTATTTTCATTAGTGATTTTCCAAATATCCGGTGCGGGACATCTTATCTACGTAAAGATAATTACCAGTGATCAATCTCATAAATCTAAACAATCTTGAACAGGGTTAAAACACATGCCACTAGAAACATCAGATTTGGGAACAGGTGGCAATGAGAAGTAAACATCCCCTGTCTAACCATTAAACATTGTATGTTCTCTTTTATTCACTTGCTAATTAGTAGGTATATTATTTTACGTATTAACCCTTTAAAAAAGGCAAAAATAATTCTTTTACATAAATGAATTGTATAACTCACCCTCCCTCTTTTTTTAGATGAATTGTCATTTATTGGAGCGACTGCGATTTATCAATTTATGATGCCTATCAGTTATGTTCATACATTCCATGTTTCAAAATCATGAATGTTCTATATACTTTTCATTATATAGGTTCTGTTATATGGTTTTAAATGAATTTCGTTTATATTTTCGTTTGCATTATTTTAGATCACGTTATTTACAAATTAAATACAAGATATTTTCAACGAGACAAAAATAGTTAATGTTAAAGTTTTCTGTAACTTTAACATGTTAAAAAACACAGAGTGCTGCATTTGCCTTTTGACTAATGATATCTTTTTCCAAATTGCAGATGTTGATGAGTGCAATTTTATCAGTCTATGTCACAACAATGCAACATGTATTAACAACAATGGATCCTACGTATGTAATTGTACGGAGGGATGGCAGGGACAACATTGTGATCAAGGTGCGTTGAAATGCACAAAATCTTATAACTTTTCTCAAAGATACTTTATAGTTTGTTTCTTTTAACATATATTTTTAAAATTTAACATTTTTTTTTCAGATATTAATGAATGTAATTCCTCTCCTTGTGAGAATAATGGAACTTGTATCAACAATAATGGATCTTATACATGTAACTGTAGTGATGGATGGACAGATAAAGACTGCAGAGAAGGTACAAAGGAGACACCTTATTTTTATTATATAGGCATCAAACTTTCTTTTGTGTGCCATATCTTATGTCAGAAAATAAGGTAATAATAATATTTAAAATTTCATACACATAAAGGAGAAAGGTTAGAAAAATCATTCTAAAATCATATCATTATAAATAATTTTCAACACCAGTCATTTTTAAGAAAAAATATATCTTGAATATTAACACAAGACTTGAGTTCTTTTTCTTTTCTTTTTTTTTTTTTATTTCATCTTAGATGTAAATGAATGTGACCAATTCAACCCATGTCAGAACAATGGAACATGTCATAACAATAACGGTTCCTACACATGTGACTGTATGGAAGGCTGGCAGGGACATAATTGTGAAGACGGTATGAATTAGTTTGAGTAATGTTACTTTGTGAAAGAGAAAAGAATACTAAGGGTACTAATTGTACGTAAAACAAGAGAAAAAAAAAACATGAAACACATCAGAAAGTATCATTATTTTTCCCATTATTTTATGCATTTCTTTATTTTAGATATTAATGAATGTACAACGATAAGTCCATGCAACAACAATGCAACTTGTGTAAATAACAATGGGTCTTATGTATGCAATTGTACAAAGGGCTGGCAGGGACACGACTGTGAAGAGGGTATTTAATTTACGTAAACGATGGAGAATTTCTTAAATGTTTTGAAACTTAACTGGAGATCATAACTAAGTAATATGATATATGATTATCTTAAAATATATATTTGTACATCAGAATCTTTCAGATAGATAGCGAAATGTTATTAAAATTATATGAAATAGCTAATGTTTTGAAAAAAAGCTATATTTAACTAATTCAATGGTTTTGTACATATATATCTATACTTTTCTTGAAAGACGTTGACGAGTGTCTCAAAACACTTAGGATTGTTTGGAATATCATTACTTTTTAACATTTATTTCAGATATTAATGAATGTAATTTCTCTCCCTGTGAGAACAATGGAACTTGTATTAACAATAATGGATCTTATACATGTAACTGTACAGATGGATGGACAGACAAAGACTGCAGAGAAGGTAAAAACAAAATGTATATCTGTGGAGAAACCTTTTTTTTTCAGTGACATCAAACCTTCTTATCAGTCGCAAATCCCTTGTCAGAAAATAAAGTAAAATACATTAAGTTTAGTATCGGCTTTAATATAGCAAAATATGATGGTAATAAACATGATATAAATATCATATCATTATAAACAATTTTCATCATCAGTCATTTTTAAGTGAAAATATCTCTTGAAAATTAACACAAGGCTAGAGGTTTTTTTTAAATCTCATCTTAGATGTAAATGAATGCGACCAATTCAACCCATGTCAGAACAATGGAACATGTCATAACAATAATGGCTCCTATACATGTGATTGTATGGAAGGCTGGCAGGGACATGACTGTCAAGACGGTAGGAATTATTTAGACTGTTATAGTTCTGTCAAAGAGAACGAAAAACTTACAGATTGTAAGCAGAACAAAAGAAAACATGAAACACATCATAAAGTAGTGTCCTCTTCTCCTTTATTTTATACATTTCTTTATTTTAGATATTGACGAATGTTCAATGTTTATGCCATGTAACAACAATGCAACATGTGTAAATAACAATGGATCATACATATGCAATTGTACGGAGGGTTGGCAGGGACATGACTGTGAAGAGGGTATTGAATTTATGAAAAAAATGACGATTTTAAAAAAAATTGAATCCTAAGTGGAGATAATAACGAAGTAATATACTATATGGTTATCTTAAATACACAATTACATATTGGAATCATTCAAATAGATAGGGAACATTTGTTAAAATTATTCAATATATTTTGTGGTGAAAAAAGTTACCTAATTCAATAGTTTTGAATTTGTCATGTTTCTTGAGTTTTGTTTTTCAAAGAGCTGGCCAGTTTCTTAAAGCACTTAAGATTGTGTTTTAATATTTTGTAATATTTTAGATATTGATGAATGTAATTACTCTCCCTGTGAGAATAATGGAACTTGTATCAACAATAATGGATCTTATACATGTAACTGTACAGATGGATGGACAGATAAAGACTGCAGAGAAGGTAAAAACAAAAGTATAGATGTGGAGAAACATTGTATTTTATAGACATCAAACTTTCCTTTTTGTGGCTTGTCACAGAAAAGAAGATATAATAACATATTAAATCGAATTTAATACGGCAAAGTGCGACGACTTTTAAAATCATTTCAATATAAACAATTTCCATCTCTAGGCTTCTTTTTTAAGAATAAAATTACATCTTGAATATTAACACAAGACTAAAGTTCTTTCTTTCTTTTTTTTTTTTTTGTCTCATCTTAGATGTAAATGAATGTGACCAATTCAACCCATGTCAGAACAATGGAACATGTCATAACAATAACGGTTCCTACACATGTGACTGTATGGAAGGCTGGCAGGGACATGATTGTGAAGACGGTACTATTAATTTTGAGTCGTGTTACTTTGTTAAGTAAAACAGAATGCTTAGGGTACAGTAAACATGAAACACATTTATAAGTATTATTCTTTCTTATGCATTTCTTTATTTTAGATATTGACGAATGTAAAACGTTCGTTCCATGTAACAACAATGCAACATGTGTAAACAACAATGGATCATACGTATGCAATTGTACGGAAGGTTGGCAGGGACATGACTGTGAAGAAGGTATTGAATTTATGAAAACAATGGAGAATTTCTTAAATATTTTGAAACTTAATTGGAAATCATAAGTAATATGATATATGATTATCTTGAAATACATATTTATACACTAGGATCATTCAAAATGACAGAGATATTTTAATAGAATTATTCAAAATAGTTTTTTTTAAATTATTCAATAGGTTTGTTCATATAATGTATACACAAATGTTTTCTTTAAAGACGTTGACGAGTGTAAAATATTCTTGCCATGCGATAACAATGCCACATGTGTGAATAACAATGGCTCCTATATCTGTAAATGTATGAAGGGCTGGCAAGGACATCACTGTGACCATTTAGGATTTATTTACTATTTCTACTCTTAGATTTATAAAGTTATCCATTTCATGTCGGCTACGAATTCTGTTCATGCACAGAAGTATCAAAAACCTGTCTGTTTTCTTTTCATTAGACATTGATGAATGTTATTTCTTACCCTGTGAGAACAACGGAACTTGTATCAACAATAATGGGTCTTACACATGTAACTGTACTGATGGATGGACAAATAAAGATTGCAAAGCGGGTAATAATAATATGCACAATCGATATAATGCAACAAAGTGGGTTTTTTTAAAATAAAATAATTATGACTCTACCTTTTTGAATAATAAAAAGAACGTGAAACGTGAAACTTCTACTATCTGTTCATTTCTTTAGATGTAAATGAATGTGTGCAGTTTAGTCCGTGCAAAAACAATGGTACTTGTAAAAACAATAATGGCTCCTACACATGTGACTGCACGGAGGGTTGGCAGGGACAGGACTGCGATACAGGTATAAATTATTTTGATCCATGGCATTTGAAAAAGATACTACGACACCTTAATTTGGAGGAAATCGAGAAAAAATACAAAATCACTCTTTCAAAACTTGTTTTCCTTTCTTAAAAATATTAAGGACGATTGCATTATCATTATCAAACTCATGTAAAGAGATCTATAATTTATTATCTTTCTTTATTATAGATATTGACGAATGTAAAACTTTCTTCCCATGTTACAACAATGCAACATGTGTAAATAACAATGGATCATATGTGTGCAATTGTACGGAAGGCTGGCAAGGACAACACTGTGAAGAAGGTATTTATTTCCTTTGAATAATGACAACATTTATGATGAATTATTAGGAAATCTACAGAGGATATATAATGTAATTTGATATACCGCGGTAAATGATTATCTTTGAGGAACACCCATATGAAGTAGAAATATTAAGCGAGACAGCAGAGTTTTCATCAAAATTTCATAGGAATAATAATAATAATATTCACTGATATAGTAACTGTTTGGCATATAATGTTTCATTATGTAAATACATATTTATTTTCTTTTAAGATGTTGACGAGTGTGAAATATTATTTCCTTGTGATAACAATGCAACATGTATTAACAACAATGGATCCTACATATGTAATTGTAAGGAGGGCTGGCAGGGACAACATTGTGACAACGGTATGAAAAACTGTCTTTTCACAGACTGGGTTTAACGATTTGTAAATATCCACTGAAATTACTATGAGGATAGTATGCATTAAAATATAGACTGTTTTTATGTTGTTTTTTTCAGATATTGATGAATGTAATTTCTCTCCCTGTGAGAACAATGGAACTTGTATCAACAATAATGGATCTTATATATGTAACTGTACAACTGGATGGACAGATAATGACTGCAATGAAGGTACTTATTTTTGTACTTTACAGAATAAAAAAAAATCAACACATTATGTTTAATAATAATATTTCAATTAAGAGGTGAACTTAATTTCATATTTAGGTATGTATCAAGTGGACATTATTCCTTGGATAATTTTTTTTTATTCAGGCCTTTGTTTTTATAATCAATTTGTATATATGAAATATCAATCTAACTTACGTGTTTTTCTTCGATATGAAACACATGTAGAATATATATATCATTTACAGTCACAGAATGGGAGATCTCGTATTTATCCAATCTTTAAAATTAAGTATTTTAATTATGTTCCATTCGGAAATTACCATTTCCAGATGTAAATGAATGTCAGCTGTTTAGACCATGCCAAAACAATGGAACATGTAATAACAATAACGGCTCCTACACATGTGATTGTATAGAAGGCTGGCAGGGACACGACTGTCAAGAAGGTAGGCATTATTATATGTCATGAACTGGCTTTAGAGAGAATGGAATATGTAAAGTAGCTATGAGATAGAAAATCATGTGTTACAAAAATATGTAAATGATAAAAATTCATGCTTGTCTTCATTTTTTTTTTTTTAATTTTGGAGAAAAATCTGTTAAAATCTAAATGTATATATCTTTATTTTAGATATTGACGAATGTAAAATGTCCTTTCCATGTTATAACAATGCAACATGTATAAATAACAATGGATCTTACGTCTGCAATTGTACGGAAGGCTGGCAGGGACATGATTGTGAAAAGGGTATTTAACCTTAGTTTTCAATCGTCAATCGTCTTCAATACAAACTTTATACTGAATGAAGTGTTTTTGGATGTAAATAAAAAGAAATTTGATTTGAAAATCTGTATTACAAGGCTTTTATAATGTATATTGTGTTTTTCTAAGATATTGACGAGTGTAAAATGTTCTCGCCATGTGATAACAACTCAACATGCATAAATAACAATGGATCATATGTGTGTAATTGTACGGACGGCTGGCAGGGACAGAATTGTGATCAAGGTTTGACTCACTTATTTTTACATACTGAGGTATTAATATATACCATCTGTATATATCTTGTTTTTGTAATATCTGAATGTTTTCTGTTTTTCTGTTAGATGTCAATGAATGCAATTTTTCTCCATGTGAGAACAATGGGACTTGTATCAATAATAATGGATCTTATACATGTAACTGTACAGAAGGATGGACGGATAAAAATTGCAGAGAAGGTACTGTTGAATAAAGCTTAGTGTGATGCAAATATATGTTTACTGTTCGCTGTCCTTTTCTTTTTTTTTTATTTTTTTCATTTAAAAAGAGGGATTTTCTTATATAATTATTTTTTATGTTTATTTCAGATATAAATGAATGTGAGCAGATTAATCCATGCCAAAACAATGGTACATGTAATAACAGCAACGGTTCCTACACATGTAAATGTAGGGACGGTTGGCAGGGACATGACTGTGAAGAAGGTATGAAATATCTTAAGACATTGTTCATATGATTGTAAAAAGAGTAAGAAACGTAGCATAAAGATTTTCAACAATATGAGAGTAAATCCTATGAAATATATCGAACGACCCCCCCCCCCCCCCAAAAAAAAAAATCAATTTAAACTAAAAAAAAAATCTTAAATTGAAACTCCTGTCTTTTTCTGTTAGATGTCAATGAATGCAATTTCTCTCCCTGTGAGAACAATGGAACTTGTATCAACAATAACGGGTCTTATACATGTAATTGTTTGGAAGGATGGACGGATAAAGACTGCAGAGAAGGTAAAGAAGTTCATTTATGGAGAAACCCTTTTTTATAGAGATTACACCTTTTTCTATGACAAGTGTATTGTAGATCAGAATTAAAATTCTTCAAAACTGAATTATCCTTGTAGATGTCGATGAATGTACGACGACAATGCCTTGTTTAAATAATGGGACCTGCATCAACAATAATGGATCATACGATTGTAATTGTTCCTTGGGATGGGAAGGATACAACTGCAAGAAAGGTAAATTTGACCTTTGAGTAAAATATGAAATTGATCTCTTATAAATAGATTTTAAAGATATTTAAAGTAATTTTTTTCTGAATGTTGATAGCTCTCTACAACGTTTTCTCATAGAGTTAAACCTGAACTGGTTTTATGTTGAAGGACTTTATGTTAACAAGTACACGATGTATTTTTTACAGATGTAAATGAATGCAATGAAATTCCATGTGAAAATAATGGAACTTGCATAAACAACGAAGGGTCATTTACCTGTGAATGTGTAAATGGATGGAAAGGAAAAATATGTCATATAGGTGATGAATTTTGATAACTCTTTCATTTGGTTCCAAAATTCCAGTAATTTCTTCCGTAGTTTAATCCTTTTTGCGGTAATAATGGAATTTTATAACACGTCCTTTTAATGAGGTGATAAGTTTGTTTTACAGAGAGCCATTTATTACTTGGAAGGTATAAATCATATATGTATATAACAAATATATATCGTATTTCCTCCCCTTGTATCATGTGTATATTCTTACCCTACCAATATCTCCCATCATACCCCTAACTGTCTATATCTAAACCAGGGTTCGCAGACACATTAAAATTATTTGAAGTAAAATCCCGTTTATAAATGTTTGTATTTTTCAGGGATAATCTTTTGAAAATTCATTTTACTTCAATATTAATTTTTTAATGCAGATGAAGACGAGTGTGAGTTGTATTCCCCTTGTGATCATGGTTTCTGTATTAATACAAATGGCTCCTATGTTTGTGACTGTGATGATGGATGGCAAGGGCGAAACTGTACAGAAGGTTAGATTTATTTTTTGATTTACTTTAACAATTATTGAAGACTTTTCATTTCTCTAATTACAGCTGTACAATATCAACCATTCTCTGTAAAATAAAGCCTGGTACAGTTAACAAAGAATGGAAAATTGATATTTAAAATCAGACGTGATTCATTTTGTATGTTTATTATGTAATATATGGAAAAGTAAGGGGGCTTTTGTGGATATGCTTACAATATATTTTATTAAAGATTTCTATTGTACACAATCTAGACGCCAATGAGTGTCAGCTTATTGGAGTATGTGAAAATGGCGGAAGCTGTTTGAATACTAACGGATCATATGCCTGTCGATGTACGGAGGGATGGGAGGGTCAACATTGTGAAAACGGTTAGTTATTTTAAAGGTGCTTAGACACAGATTTGAACTTAATATTTTCTTAAATTTTCTGTATAATATCACGACTTATATATTGCAATAGCATTTCACACGAAAATATAATTAAAAAACTTATTTCATCTGGAATTATTGGAACTACGAATTCCGGGACGCGGTTTATTAACACATCTTTGCACTTACACAAATTTTAACTTTATCCTTAATATTTAAGAAAAGAAGCGATTTTGTTATGTATTAATGAAAAATATTACATCTATAATCCAGAAAATCCAGAGTAGAAATGTTCGAAAGCAAAACCAACTCACCAGTATTGCTCTGTGATGTGTACAGAGTTTAACAAATTGAACACACCCGTGAAACGTAAACTGTTTTTGTAAACAGGGCAGGAGCTCTATTATTGTTAATGTATACGATTCATCGGGTGTGTTCAATTGTTAAACTCTGCACACACCACTGAGCACGGACTTACAATACTGTGAGTGGTATTTGCTTTCGAACATTTCTACTCTGAAATTTCTGGGTTATAGTTTTAATATTTTTCATTAATACACAACAAAATTTCCACTTTTCTTAAGTATTAAGAATAGAACTAAATATGTGAAAGTGCAAGGATGTGTCAATCCAACGCGTCCAGAAATTTTAATAACTTCGAGATGAAATAAGATTTTTATTATATTTTAGTATGAAATGCTATAGCAACATATAAGTCATGAAATTATACAGAAAATTTGAGAAAATACTAACTTCAAATCTGTGTCCAAGCACCTTTAAAAGCAAACTCGACTTATTCTCATTGAATTATCACAATTACATGTAAAAGAATTTTTGGTATAATGAATAAATGTAGCTTTTTTGGCTTACAGTAAGATTCAATCACCTGTTCGAATCTAAGCAGTGGTTTTATTTATTTTTTAATTTTTCTTTGTAGACATTAATGAATGTAATGTGACACAGCCATGTCAGAACAATGGGACCTGTGACAACACATATGGCTCCTACATCTGTAATTGTCAACAAGGCTGGCAGGGTAAAAATTGCCATAAAGGTAAAATTAAATTTTATTTCATGAATTGGTTTGGTGAAATATTATCTCTAAGGTTATCAAGTTTATAATAAAAATTTTACATTGTTATTGATGTTACAGATGTCAATGAATGTAATATTGAACCATGTGAAAACAACGGCACATGTCACAACAATAACGGATCGTACACATGTAAATGTATGGAGGCCTATCAGGGCCAACATTGTGAAGATGGTAAGTATTCTATAGAAGGGATAAGAATAAAGACAAATACAGGAAACGAAAAAGCATATAATATTAAGGTTGTGCAATTTTTTTTACTTTTATTTATTATTTATTTTTATTCTGTGGTTCCTACTCTAATTGATACATTTTATATCACAAAATTGTACAGTATGTCCAATGTTAAAAATATCACTGACTTATACTGACAATTCTAATCTATGTGACAGAAAGACTAGAATACATGTAAGGTTTATGTTTTTTTTTCTATAGATGTTGATGAATGCATTGTAAAGGAACCGTGTGAAAACAATGGAACCTGCATTAACAGTTTTGGATCTTACGAGTGCATTTGTGAAAATGGGTGGCTAGGAAAACAGTGTGAAACAGGTATGTTGTGACTACACCTGACAATATATATAGTCTTTTGTATAATGAATTCCTAAGATATTTCACTATCGTACCAACATAAGATTTTTCTATCACTTTATTGATAATTTATCAAATATAGAAGAGATAGAACCTCCTTTACAATTTGATGATAATGAAGGCAAAAACTCGCCTTGTGAAAATAACGGAACATTCAATAACTGTATAAAAGAGTGTAAAATAAAAATAGTTCAAATGGTAATTCTAAATCAGAATCATATATATCAAACTTTCGTTCATTATATATATAACTTAATTTTTTTATGTCTAGATGTAGATGAATGTGTTGTTAACCCTCCATGCCAGAACAACGGTACATGTATTAACAATAATGGTTCTTACACATGTATATGTACAAATGCATGGGAAGATAAAAATTGTCAAACAGGTAGACATTATTTCATTATACCCGCACTTTCTAAAGAAAGTTCGGGTATATTGTTGTTACTCATGTCTGTCCGTCCGTCCGTCCGTCTGTCCGTCCGTCCGTCCGTCTGTCACACTCTTATTTCTCAAACTCCTCTTACATTTTATACAGTAGCCTAATCATCTTTTGGGGGATGTTTGGTGATGTCATGTAGATGTGCAGTAAAGTTTCGGAATTTTCATTTTCACCCTGGGGGTCAAATGGGGGTCGAAAAATGACGTTTTTATGCAAAAAGCCCCTGGTTCCCTGAACTCCTCTTACATTTTACACAGTAGCCTAATCATCTTTTGGGAGATGGTTAGTGCTGTCCTGTAGATGTGCAGTAAGGTTTCGGAATTTTCATTTTCACCCTGGGGGTCAAATGGGGGTCGAAAAATGACGTTTTTTATGCAAAAAGCCCCTGGTTCCCTGAACTCCTCTTACATTTTACACAGTAGCCTAATCATCTTTTGGGAGATGGTTGGTGGTGTTATGTAGATGTGCAGTAAGGTTTCGGAATTTTCATTTTCACCCTGGGGGTCAAATGGGGGTCGAAAAATGACGTTTTTTATGCAAAAGCCCCTGGTTCCCTGAACTCCTCTTACATTTTACACAGTAGCCTAATCATCTTTTGGGAGATGGTTAGTGCTGTCCTGTAGATGTGCAGTAAGGTTTCGGAATTTTCATTTTCACCCTGGGGGTCAAATGGGGGTCGAAAAATGACGTTTTTTATGCAAAAAGCCCCTGGTTCCCTGAACTCCTCTTACATTTTACACAGTAGCATTACGTCTTTTGGGAGATGGTTGGTGGTGTCATGTTGATGTGCAGTAAGGTTTCGGAATTTTCATTTTCACAATGGGGTCAAATAGGGGTCGAAAAATGACGTTTTTTATGCAAAAAGCCCCTGGTTCCCAGAACTCCTCTTACATTTTACACAGTAGCCTAATCATCTTTTGGGAGATGGTTGGTGGTGTCCTATAGATGTGCAGTAAGGTTTCGGAATTCTTATTTTCCCCCTGGGGGTCAAATGGGGGTCAATTTTTTTAAAAAAAATATTTAACATGTTTAAACATCCTGGTTCCCAGAACTTCCCTTATATTTTATGCACTAGCCTTAAATCATGATCATTTGGAAGATGATTGATTTTGTCCTGTGGATGTGTAAAATGGTTTTAAAATTTGCATTTCCATGTGGATAGCAAATAGGGGCAGGAAAAAAATGGCCCCTCCCTAACCCATGGGGTCATGATTTGTACAAACTTGAATCTACACTTCTTGGGAATGTTTCCATATTAATCATGCTTTTGTTGTTCTTAAAAAGAAGAATTCTGAAGATTTTTTTTCCTTTTAAATCTCTATAAAACTTTGATCCCTTATTGTGGCCTGACCCTATCCTCGGAGGTCATGATTTGAAAACTAGAAATATGTCCATAGGACATAAATGTCCCGCCGAATGTATATTACTAATGCAACATGAAAATTTGTATGAGTGTATGAAGTTTGATGAGAATATCTTGAACAGTTTCTTTAAAATTGAAACTAAAATCTAAAAAAAAAATGGATATAGATGATAAATTCTCACAAAATTATGTATAAGTGCATGCTTACATAAAAATATCTTAGATTGTTTCTTTAAAACTAAGCAAAATACAAATTAAAGAGAAGGGAGGTCAAGGTCACAGGAAAGTGCAAGGTGAAAAGTTTTTGATGCAGTTGTATAGCTCTCACTAATACATATCAGCATATTAGGTTTGATAAAAATATCTTGAATGATTTATTTAGAACTGAGCTTAACACTTATTTGAGAAAAGAGAGGTCAAGGTCAAAGGAAAGGTTGAGGTCAAAATGCTGATGCAGTTGAAAAGCTTATATCAGTATGTATTTACTATTAGCATAGAAGTTCAATAAAAATATCAGAAATGGTTTATTTAAAACGTAGATAAACATTAATTTAAAAAAGTGAGGTCAAGGTCCAAGGAAAAGTCAAGGTCAAAAAAGTTGATGCAATTGATATCTCTCAGCAGTATATATCAGCATACGAAGTTTGATAAATATATCTTGAATTGTTTATTCAAAACTGATCTAGACACTAATTTAAGAAAAGTAAGGTCAAGGTCAAAGGAAAAGTCAAGGTCAAAAATTTTGATGCAGTTGAAAAGCTTACATCAGTATGTATCAGCATATGACGTTTTTTATTGAAGTCGGACATGACAAACACTATATGCCTCGGCCATATTCATGGCAGGGCATAAAAAACTTGAATCTACACTATATGAGGATGTTTCCATATCAAAATGACTAACAAGCAAATTCAAAGAATTGTGGTCCCCTGCTTTCCGTGTCCTAGTGGATGGGATGCCATTATTTATGACATATTGTTTCAAATATGCAGGCCTTATCATATGTCATTCAAAAGTAATCACCAAAGTTAAAGTTTTTGAAAATTAGGTAAAACATCAAGGTCAAGGGGTAAAAAAATCATAGCATGCTTGGAAACATCTTGTTACAGGTAATGTACATGTCAAATATAAAAGTCCTATCTCTTCTCAATCAAAAGTTATAAGGAAATATAACATTTTTGAAAAGTAGGTTAAACTTCAAGGTCAATGTCACAGAGTCAAAAGTCATGATATATTTAGAAAGGTCTTGTCACAGGTAATATACATGTATAATATGAACGCCCTATCTTTTCTCTTTCAAAATGATCATTTAAAATAATGTTAAATTTTTTGAAAAGTAGGTCAAACTTCAAGGTCAAGGTCCTGGGTTCAAAAATCATGGTATGTTTAGAAAGTTCTTGTAGGTAATGTACATGTGAAATATGAAAGCACTATCTCTTAATATTCAGAAGTTATGACCAAGGTTAAATTTATTGTGACAGACGGACAGACTGACAAACGGACAGACTAACAGACAAATGAGATTTAATGTCCCCTAGGTCCCTTTTGTGAAAACAGATGACAATAATGCCCTTGCTGTTCATGAGAAGAAGATTTATGATGGAAAAAATCCCCTGCATTTTTCTATGTAAATCATTGGATCCCCATATGTGGCCCCACCCTACCCCAGTGGGTCATAATTTTAACAAATTTGAAGCTACACTAAGTCTATGTAAAGAAAGTTTCAACTTTTTGGGCCCAGTCAGTGGTTCTTGATATTAGACTTTTTTTAAAATGATACCACCAAATTTTCACTAATTCTTGATTATCCCCCCTTGAAAGAGGGTGTGACCCTTCACTTGAACAAACTTGAATCCCCTTTCCCCGAAGATGCTTTGTGGCAGGGTTGGTTGAAATTGCCCAGCGGTTCTAGTGAAGAAGACAAAAATGTGAAAAGTTTACAGGCGGGCAGATGGATGACAAACAAAATGTGATCAGAAAACCAGAAAAACTCAAGTGAGCTAAAAACTGATGATCACAAGTACTTGGAAAGAGTTACAGTATTTGAAAAGCAGTTTTGTTTTCAGAAGCTGAAAATGTATGACTTGTATCCATGTTGAAAAAATTTCACATTTCAGAAAACAGTATGATTAAAAATAGTTAATCAAGGTGCTTTGAGTAGCAAAATAAGCTAAACTGGTATAGCTAATTCAACCAGAGAGCTTAGTGAATTTTAAAATGCACAACCTTTTCAACTCTTAATCATTCTTAAAATATTTATATCATCATTTCTGATTCAAGGGAGAACTAGAGATATGATCAGAAGTATATCTGTTGACTAATAAACATGTACATGTATATTGTGTTTTTTAAGTCATTAATGTTTGTTTGTCGTTAAATGTCCCTCTTGGGAATTTTTCACTCATACGGAGACACCACCACTTAAAAATAATGAAGACGTACAAGTCGGATTTGAGGTTTACATTCATTTTAGGAATTTTCAACAATTAAGACATAAAGAGATAACTCCTTCCCCTTGCCCCTTCCCAGACCCCTGTTTGTTCATGTATGCTAACTAGTCTAATACTTTGGTTTGACATAAAAAAAATGTGAATATATACAAATAGTTTAATGGTCCATCTCTTTGAATGATTTTCATTCCTAATTCTAGGAGGGTACATGGGTTGACCCAAATTCATGAATGAAATGTCAAGTAATCTTTTCATTGATGCACTTTTATTTAATTTGATGTAGTCATATTATGAACATTTCCAGTTCATTAAGAGAGTGGGGATTGATTGATTGATTGATTGTATATTGTTTAACGTCCCATTCGAGAATTTTTCACTCATATAGAGACGTCACCATATACCGGTGAAGGGCTTCAAATTTTGACCTTTACTCGGCACTCAGGGCCATTGAGCAGTGAGGGATCTTTATCGTGCCAACGCCTGCCGTGACACGGGGCCTCGGTTTTTAAGGTCTCATCCGAAAGACCCGCAACTTTCACTCCAAAGTGCCGAGCGCATGGCGAAGGAACAGTTGCTACCTATTTTTTATCGACTTAGGTCTGTCGCGGCCGAGATTCGAACTCACGACCTCCCGATCACGGAGCGAGCGCTCTACCGACTGAGCTACCGTGAACGGTTAAGAGAGTGGGGATGACCTCCAGGGGTTCATAACCTTAAACCATTAGATGTACATAACATAATAACACAAGAAACAAAATTATGTATAGTCAAATGGAAAAGTTTTCTACTATTTAGGAGTCACATGATCATTTGTCATTTCAGGGACAGGGAGTGGCTAGGGAGATTGGACCCCCCCCCCCCTGGAATTTGCAGAGTTATTTAAAAAGGACTACATACTGATTTACAGAAGCAAATAAAAAATGACTTTGGATGCCCTCCCCCTTTAAAAACATGGACCCCACCATCATTGTTTTTATTTTGTTCGTTTGTTTTTTGTTTTTTGTTTTTTTTTTTTTTTTTTGCTCCTCAGGAAATTCTGGGCTGGAATTTTTTTGGACCGAGGTGTGGACCCCCCCCCCCCTCCCCGGAAAAAAATTCCCGGATCTGTGCCTGTAACTGAATGTAATGTCGACAATGGGAGATAACTCTTCAGAATGTGAAATTCGTCTATTGTGGCATCCGATGATCCACTCTCTACCATCGGCTCATACATTCAGTGTCAGAGAGAAACGAACGACAACTCTGCATGGGAGATTGCCGATGATCTTTGATCCTTTTTAATCTTTAACCTAACCATTTGCATTTCGGTTTATTTTACCCCAATCTATACTTAAACTTGTACTTACCGACTGTCATAGGTCCTGTCAACTTCATGAAATATAATCCAATTAAAACACAAAATGAATTAATTTCCACTGATATACATGTAACACTGCACCATGTCACATGGCATGTGCAATCTAAAAATGATAATGGTAAAACTAGTACTAGTACTGGTAGGGTGACGCAAGCCCAATGTGATGTAGAAATTTTCAAAAAGGTGTTCACATACATGTACAGTACAGGAACAAATTTTAAATTATCATAACAAACGATGTTTTAACATAACTTTGCCATCTAAGCCTATTTCCAAAAACAGGCAAATTGTGTGTGTGTGTTGGGGGGGGGGGGGGTGACAAAATTGATTGGGTATGGCTTTTCAAGGAGGTTTTTGCCTAATCAAATACTAAAAAAAGTTTGCACATTTTGATAAATTCATCAAAAACGCTTTGTACTAAAATAATATTATTTGTTGTTGAGAAAATAAATTTAAAAACTTCCAATTATGGGCCAAAAATTTATATCCCCCCCCCCTTTTATCAAAACCTAATTTACATCATTAATTAAATTCTGTTATTTCAGACTGGTAATGAATTAAGTATATGAAATGCGTATAAGAGGTTCATGGGTCACATGGTCACCTGAGCATTTTATGCTCGATTTGACGAATACATGTACTGTGTAAATTATAGAATTATTTGGACTTTTTCCTTGGTAAGCCCAATGTGAAGGAGTGTGCATTTAGAGGCAAACACCTTAGTGCGGGTATTACTGTCTCATGACAGCATCTAGTTTCAAATTGTTATTTGTTTTTTTGTTTTCTGTAACTAATATCTTTAAACATGGTTAAGTTTTTATTTAATTGATTAATCATAATTTTTCAAGATATAGAAATTTCATAAACCTCCTTATTTTTTTCAGATGTGGATGAATGCAGTCGATATTCTCCATGTCAACATAACGGAACCTGTTTAAACAATGAAGGGTCATATTCCTGCGATTGCAGAGCAGGATGGGAAGGATTTCATTGTGAAAATGGTAAGTTTTTATTATATATTTCTTTTTTATAACCTGTTTCACTGATGCAAGTTTTGTTTGTCGTTTGATTATAATTTTGAACGTTTAATTTTGATCAATAAATTTTAATTGGTTTATTGGAATTCTTTGCCTTTAGACACAGACGAATGCTCTTTTGTGCCTTGTCTTCATAACGGAACCTGTATCAACACAGATGGATCATATTTTTGTAACTGCACAGATGGATGGCAAAACAAAGACTGTGAAGAAGGTTAATTAAGCCACACCATCGTTATGTTCCATATTTTATTTCAATTGTCTCCGGTTATTGGGGAATGTTCACATACTTAAATTAACAGTTACTTAAGTCAGTAGTAATATTTATATACTTATTTTAATTGGAATAATAATTTAGCATCAAAGATTATATTTAACCATCACATACAAATATGGAAGGTCCTAATTTAAGATTACGAATTGTTCATGAACTTCCTTTGTTTTAAGTACACATACCTTTGGTACCTATAAAGGTATGCCGATATATTACAGATTTCGATGAATGTGCTGTGCTTGATCCATGTCAGAACAATGGTATATGTCACAACAATGAAGGCTCCTATACGTGTGAATGTATGGAGGGCTGGCAGGGATATAATTGTGAACAAGGTATTCTTTGATTTACACCATTTTTGAATAATTAAACACCAACAAATTGTTTTTATCAATAGATTCTTCCTCTTTTCATACGGTAAAGGTAAAAGATACAATTCAAATTTCTAATTTAAGTTTTTTTCCGTGGTCTCTAATCAAAAAGTTTACTTAATCCAATATAACTTTTAATAAAAGTAATATAACTCTTACTGTCACTCTTCATTAATAACAGTCCATATTAATTAGAAGAGATATTCCGATATGAAACACGGACTAAGATAAATTCAGATTCCGAATTATATCCTCTTTAGAGTGTCAACAGTTATATACTGAAATATATTGCATATACATGTATTGTTAAAACGCGAAAATAGCAAAAATCAAATGAACTGGAGTAACGCAACGATACTACAATGTTGAGTTATTAGTACAGCGTATAATACGTGAGAAAAACATTGGTACATTTAGGAATATTTACAAGAATGTAGCCGAAATAACTCCCTGATACAATTTCCTCTGTTAAAGTCTGTTACATTTCTGTTCCTTTTTTCATATTATGGACTTTCTTTTAGACGAAAATGAATGTGAATACGAACCATGTCAAAATAATGGAACGTGTCTAAACGTCAGAGGATCATATGGCTGCATTTGTACAAAAGGGTGGATAGGACAACACTGTCTTGAAGGTATTGTTGAAATGGCGTATATTTGTAGACTTGTAGTGACTAGTATGTCTTCAGTCTCCAGTGTGTAAAAATGTAGATTATTACTAGTACTGCTTTTAATTTTTTAAAGAACAAATTAAAATTTTAACTAAATATGTTTAAGTTACAAAACTAAAGTAGACACTTCAGTTAGAGAAATTGTCATTACGTAGATTACTTGATCGATTTTTATATATTTTATAATTAACTTTATTCTTTTATCAAAATATATCCATAGCTTCATTCATACACTCAATTTATTACTTTTTCGATGTAGATGTAAATGAATGTTTGACTGAAGAGATTTGTCAGAATAACGGAACATGCATAAATAATAATGGTTCATACACATGTCTATGTACGGATGGCTGGTTAGGACAGCATTGTGATGACGGTAATCTCTCTCTCTCTCTCTCTCTCTCTCTCTCTCTCTCTCAATGTGACAAATTCCCTTAACAAATATTTCATCATAAAAAAGTTAATTTACTCTACAGATGCAGATGAATGTGCAGTTGATCCTTGTTTAAATAATGGAACGTGTGTAAACAACTTTGGCTCATACGAATGTAAATGCTCTCAAAGATGGCAAGGCGGTAACTGTGAAATAGGCAAGTATGAAAGCCATAAGCTGTCACCAGTTATTCCAACCTTATATACTCTGTTTTTTTTTTAAAATATACATTTTGTTAAATATTTTATTTGTATGTTTTCAGATGTAGATGAGTGTTTGAAATCTCCATGTCAGAACAATGGTACCTGCTTTAACACCGAGGGTTCTTATTTCTGTAATTGCACAGAGGGATGGACAAACCATGACTGTGAAAAAGGTTTTTTTAAAACAATAAAATGCTTTTTTGGTTGTTAGTACGGGAATTAATGTGGCAGCTGTTGCAGAAAAAAATGCATAACCCGCGTAAGCGGGTTAAGTAATTTTTTTTTCTGCAATAGCTGCGACGTTAATTCCTGTACTTACAACCAAAAAAAGGACATTTTATTGTTTATATTTATACATGTATAAAAAATCTTTTAAAGTAGGATTAAAAAGATAAATTATTGTATTATTGATATGTACGTCATAGTACGTTTCATTGATGGATACGCCACTGATCAAAAAATCTGTACAGGTGATATGCCTAGTGTTGTTTATGAACTGATAAATGGCAATGGTTTTTCTTAAGATATAAAGGGGGAAATATTCAGTGAATGTAAATATATAATAATTTTGAAAAAGTCAACTGATGCACTACATATTCAGTCCCCGGAGTAGGGTGGGAACACAACATTGGATCATAGTCTTACATGGTGATATGATGTAAAAAGAAATCTTGAAAATTGATCTTTTCTGAAAGTGAATCCAAAAAATCTGATGAAATAGAATTCAACTGTGTCTGTTTATATATATCCAGATGTTAATGAGTGTGATGATAGCACAATATGTCAAAATAACGGAACGTGTTCGAACACTGAGGGCTCCTACGTGTGTGGCTGTATGGAAGGTTGGCAGGGACAGCATTGTGAAACAGGTATAATGACTTATACAGTATATTTATTGATAGCATACGAAAAAATAAATAAAGTTCGTTTTACGTACTTTTCATCGCAACATAAAATTTCAATATTTAAAAAATATAATTCGAATTTGAATGGTAAGCCGTCCGAATTTATGTATGACATTATATATTAAAATCGATATGAATTTCATGAAATTTTTTTTTACCGAAAATGATATATATTTTTTTTTGGTAGATACAAATGAATGTATTGTAAACCCATGTGAAAATAATGGAACATGTATAAACACTATGGGATCGTATATCTGTAATTGTGAGGATGGCTGGCAAGATCAAAACTGCGGAACTGGTGAATATTGTTTTTCCTATACCTTTTGTAATATGTAGACTATTACCCATCAATATTTTTCGTTGAAGCTAAGCATTTATTTTAATTACTAGATTTGAATTACTATTGTACAGATAAATTTGTATGTATTTTTAGATGTTGATGAATGCATTGAATATAGTCCATGCCAGAATAATGGCACATGTATAAACAATGATGGATCTTATGTATGCAACTGTACGGAAGGCTGGCAGGGACAACATTGTCAAGAAGGTGTGTCATTGTCAGAAATGCTTTCACTATGAGCTGTTCGAACCCTTGATAGGATTGCTGATTTCTTATCATCTATGTTTTTTTTTAAATTTAAGATGAGGATGAATGTCTTCGAGCACCTTGTCAGCACAATGGTACATGCACAAACAGCATTGGGTCCTACACGTGCACATGTGAAGACGGATGGGAAGATAAAGATTGCAAAGAAGGTAAAGACAGCTTTAGTTTTGGGCGATGAAGTCTATTCATAGCCTTTGTATTTCCATTATTTGATGTTTGATTGTTTTTCACTTAGATCGAGATGAATGTTTGGATTTACCATGTCAAAATAATGGTACCTGTATGAACACTTATGGTTCTTACACGTGCTCCTGCTCAGAGGGTTGGGAAAGCCATGACTGCGAAAAAGGTAAACTACATATATGTACATGTGAAAATTATCGATATTTATGGTATTGTCCTAATCTCACATACATCTGATTCTTTGTATTTTAACTAAAGTTTCTGAATTTTGATTTTTAAAATGTTAATATGTTTTAGATGTAAATGAATGCAGTGTGTTTGAACCATGTCAGAATAATGGAACTTGCATCAACAATGATGGATCTTACATTTGTACATGTGAGAAGGGATGGAGAGACAAGCACTGTGATGCAGGTGAGGTGTTTTATATACCAAAAGGGATTTTCTCTTGCATAAAGAAATTAGAATCTAAAACAAATAGTATGTTTAATCTACAATTAATTGTTTATATTTATTAGCTGATATCTTACGGTTTTCTTAATATTTTTCTTTTTTTAAAACTATCTCCTCTGGTTTGTGTGCATGTATAAATGTCTGCCTCTTGATTGGTGAACTTAGAAGAAGGATAATATATGTTTTTATTTAAATATTAATAGATATAAACGAATGCACGGAATTAGAACCTTGTACCAACAATGGAACATGTTACAACAATGCAGGGTCATACACTTGTGATTGCAAAAAGGGATGGATGGGACAACATTGCGATACTGGTGAGTCGACTTCTTTTTATCTTGTATCCTAGTAGACTTTGTTGGTAATATAAAAGTAATAAGCCTTTTTTAAATGTTATATTAAAATGAAAGATTTCTTTCCAAAACCATAGTAATTGAGTTAAAAGAATAAAGAATGTCTTTTGACCGTGTATGTGCAAAACACTGAACAGAAAGTTATTGCTTAATTTTGGTTTTTATCTCTGGATGGCACTACATAACCTTGTGAAATATTAACTTGTTTGGTACGTTTAGAAAATGTAGTTTTTGCCTAATATTTTAATGCGAAGATATGCTTATACGGTAAAAAAAAATGAATTGATATTATTTTACTTTGAAAATGAAGACATCGATGAATGTCAGCTATACCCCTGTGAAAATAATGGCACCTGCATTAATTCAATGGGGTCTTACGGGTGCAACTGTACGGATGGGTGGCAAGGACAAGATTGTCATATTGGTAAGTGTCACTTTCTTATTTCTATGCACATGTATTATAATCAACTTTTGCAGGATTATTATGAAGGAATCATTTAAATGGTTAAAAAAAGATACATACATGTACACGTGTCCATCCTTAAGTACATAATTTTAAAAGGACTTCAAAAGATATTTGTACATTTGTTTTTTTTAATAACTTTTAAAATAAAATTTTTGGAACAGATTTGGATGAGTGCAGTTCATACTCCCCATGTGAGAACAACGGTACATGTATCAACGATGATGGATCTTATACTTGTGTCTGCAAGAAAGGCTGGAGTGGGAAACATTGTGATATAGGTATTTAAGTCATATATTGGAGGATTCATCAGCAATTAAAATGAATTATTTTCTTGAAAGTGTAAAGAAAAGTTTAAATTTAACTTGATATATTGCAGATGTTGATGAGTGTTTGATGTCTCCGTGTAAAAATAACGGTACATGTCATAACACTGAAGGATCCTATTTCTGTGAGTGTACGGAGGGCTGGCAGGGAAAACATTGTGATGGCGGTGAGTAAAAAAATTAAAAAACCCAATCTGCTTATTGTACATTATACTAGTATTTCTTACAAAGTTAATCTAGTTCTTACCATTTATATATCAAAATCACAAAAATCATGTATTGTTGTGATATTATCTGGAAAATAGCGACCGTGGGTTAATGAGTATATGTTCTCTATATTCACAGATAATGATGAGTGTGCCTCTTTTCCGTGCCTTAATAATGGCACATGTGTTAACAATGTAGGATCATATTCATGTGAATGTGTAAAGGGGTGGATTGGAGAAGTTTGTGAAATAGGTAAGGTATAATTTTAAAAAAATCTTTTCAATTTTTTTTTCATAAGATGTAATGCTTCTAATGTTGAAAAATAATTTTTTTTTTTCAGATGATAACGAATGCAAAGCCGCAGGTGGATCTCCTTGCCAACATAACGGCACTTGTATCAATACACTTGGTTCATACAAGTGTGACTGTATAGAAGGCTGGCAAGATCAAAATTGTGAAAATGGTATGAGAGAAATCTAAATGTATATTACCTATATCGTCACATATTGAAGAAATAAATTGTTAATCAATAATGTCCTGACTTTTCTGCAGATATAAACGAATGTGATGTGAATGACCCCTGTCAAAATAATGCTACTTGTATCAACAACGATGGCTCCTATAATTGTGACTGTGTAAAGGGTTGGAGGGGTCAGAATTGTGAAAATGGTAATTTTTAAAAAGTCATTTTTCTCATATGGAACAAATATTCGTTCTGTTTGAATATTGTTTGCTCGTATAATCAATTTGGACTAGTTATTTTTATAAGATTATATCAATGTTAGATATCGACGAATGCCTAGAAAATGCCCCTTGTCAGAATAATGGGACCTGTTTGAATAATGAGGGATCGTATGCATGTAATTGTACGGCGGGCTGGCAGGGACAACACTGTAATGAAGGTATGATAAAACTATCATAAAGTTTTGAAAACTAAGTTGTATCTTATTTTGAACACGATACAAATTTAGGGAAGATAACTTTTAGATGTTGTGTTATTACATGTATTTCTTTCAGACGTGAATGAATGTACGGTAAAGGACCCTTGTCAGAATAATGGGATATGTACTAATAACGAGGGTTCATATTTATGTACTTGTACAACAGGATGGACAGGGATACACTGCCAAAAAGGTATACATGTATTAATTTTTTTTATTATCTATGTATGCATTTCTTCATTTGAAATCAGTGTTTTATAATGTTTTTTTTTTCTTTTTCCTAGATGTGGATGAATGCACTCAATTCCAACCTTGTCAAAATAATGGAACTTGTGTGAACAACGATGGTTCTTACATGTGTGAATGCATGCCAGGTTGGACAGGGCATGATTGTGAAACTGGTATTCATATTTTAATATTGCTGGAATTTATAGAAAATTTCAAAATGTCAAATCGAAAATGTCATGGATTTTTATGGTTTAGATATTTAAAAGAAATTATACGATTGCAAGAAATGCACAGTTAAATATGTCTTTTTTTCCAATCATCACCAAAAAGAAGAATATAAGTATTTTGATAATATTCCTAGATGTGGATGAATGTAGCAATTCCCCATGTAGACATAACGGTACATGTATCAATGACCTAGGATCATACTTTTGTAATTGTACGAAAGGCTGGTCAGGACAGAATTGTCAAACAGGTATGGTTTTCCTCTAAATATAAGACTCTGTAGCAAGCAGTATTAATTTTCAAAATAGATGAAAAATTACTAAACTATCTGATGTAAATACGGTTTAATCACCAAACATTATTAAGCTGTGCTTATTTTACCATCATAAATCAAAACTTACCTTGATTCTCCTTTTTTTAGACGTCAATGAATGTGAATCGTCTCCCTGTCAGAATAATGGCACCTGTATTAACACCGTGGGTTCCTACATGTGCGACTGTGACGTCGGGTGGCAAAGTAAAGACTGCAAAATCGGTACAGAATAATCCATTGTGTTGATTTTTAATTAATCAAATATATCTAGTTTTTCGTTATTTTTTAGAATATTTGTAATTATCATCCTTTTTCATTACACTAGATAATTATCCCTAAAGATATTTGGATGTTGTCTGTTTTTTATTGCGTTTTTTGTATTTTTTTCTAGACGTTGATGAGTGTATGAACTCCCCATGCCACAATAATGGAACGTGCATTAACAATGAAGGATCGTATACGTGTTCTTGTGCTCCGGGATGGATGGGACCCAATTGTGAAAACGGTACCCACTTGATACTCAAACAATCGACCAAACATAAATACATGCTTTGAAATTCATTTTATATAGCTTCTATTTTTTCATGATTAACTTAATTTTTATAGATATGAACGAGTGCGAAGTTTCACCATGCCAGAATAATGGAACCTGCCATAATAATCAAGGGTCCTACAAATGTGATTGTACAAGAGGATGGCAGGGCAAAGACTGCAACACAGGTACAATACATATACTTCAATAATTATTCGGATATATTATTGACTGTTGTGAATTAATTTATAGTATGTAATTTCAATGATTATCTTGCAGACGTTAATGAATGTGACAATTCCCCGTGTCAAAATGGCGGCAGCTGTATAAACAGTGCAGGCTCTTATGCATGCGACTGTACGGAGGGCTGGGAGGGACAAAACTGTGAAAAAGGTAAAAAGGTTTACAAAAACCAAAAATCTTTTCAAATATTATGTACCAGCTTGAAAAGTTGTATTAATTGTCTTTTTTTTCTTTGGAACAGATATTAACGAATGTGATGACATGCCATGTGAGCACAATGGAACATGTATAAATACCCTGGGATCTTATGATTGTGATTGTAAGACAGGCTGGACAGGACAAAACTGCATGACAGGTATCTTAACCTTTTGATATGAATCTTATAACAACCAAAACAATAAAAATGATATGTATAATGCATGTTATCACTTTTCACAGACGTCAATGAGTGTGATAATTCCCCTTGCCAGAATGGTGGAACATGTATCAACAATAATGGGTCATACTACTGTATTTGTACAAAGGGATGGATGAGCAGCAAAACAGATTGTGAATCAGGTACCGAATATGTCATTTAATTGTTACTTTAAAAAGAAATGATATTTTTTTAAGAAACATGTAATTAGTTTACTTTTTTTTTTTCGAAGATGTGAATGAGTGCCTTGATAACCCATGCCAACATAATGGAACTTGCATAAACAACCAGGGATCGTACGACTGCGCATGTACAGATGGTTGGCATGGTGAAGACTGCAAACAAGGCATGTGAACCAACAGGAAATTCTGACTGTTTGATGTATGTTGTTTGATATGATTTTAATTGGTGATTTTCTTTTCTTTTTAACAGACCGTGATGAATGTGCAAATTCTCCTTGTCAAAACGGTGGAATTTGTTTGAATACCGCCGGATCATACACGTGTAACTGTACTGAGGGTTGGGAGGGAGACGAATGCCAGAATGGTAAGATTTTATTTTTGTATCTTTAGATGAAGCATATAACTTTATTGAAGAAATGCAGAATGATCATTTAACTTGAAAGTAAATTCAAAATTCGTGAATGGATGATGATGTGTTCCGATGAAAAGTATCAGTTTTAATGCTTAATTTTTATCTTTGTCAGATAAGAATGAATGCCTTTCTTCACCTTGTCAAAACAATGGAACGTGCATCAACAATCTCGGCTCCTATAAATGTGACTGTAACAATGGATGGACAGGGAAAGACTGCAGAGAAGGCAATCATTTACTACCTTAGATTTGTAGATTTATAATCCATGAATGGCATGATTGTATAAGCATATTTTGACTGATATTGGTAATCTATTTTACCCTCTCTTTTTAGATGTCAATGAATGCAATAATGACCCCTGTAACAATGGAGGAATCTGTATAAACACGGGCGGATCCTATAAATGTAACTGTACCGAGGGGTGGCAGGGATATGACTGCGAGGAAGGTATGTACATTCTGTATTCTTGTGCTGATGTCTTCTAATCCTTAGAAATTCTTTTATGAATCAAATTAAATGTTCTTGAGACCTGACACAGCAGAAATCTTCGGGTTTCTTTTTCATTGATTATACGTGAAATTTCTTCCTATCTTTGCAGATAAAAATGAATGTGAAAATTCGCCATGTCAACATAACGGCACATGTGCCAATTTACTGGGATCATACCATTGCCATTGTACGGAAGGCTGGCAGGGAAAACAATGTGACAAAGGTAACAAAGTTTGATGTTTATTGCAGCATTGGGCAAAAATAATTAGTTAATTTTCGTTCTAAATAAATTAATATGTATTTTGTTTTATTTTGGGGGTAAAATCGAACATTTTTATGAAATACAAATGGGAAAAATATGCCAAATTATCCAAATTATAATCTACTGAGAATTAAAAACCTACACCGTAATTATTTCTAAGGGGAAAAATTAAAAGAGGATTCATAAATCTATGATTCTACCAAATCTTTCTCAATTGAACTACTTTGACATATTATTTTATAAATTAATTGTTTTCATTTAAGACGTTGATGAATGTCTTACCTCTCCCTGTCTAAATGGCGGTACGTGTCTTAACAATGAAGGGTCATTCACATGTGACTGTGAAAAAGGATGGCAGGGACTTGATTGCTCAGAAAGTGAGTAGAAACAGATTAAAAATACTCAGAATTCAAGATCCACAATAAAAGGCATAACAAGAATTTGTTTTTTCTTAATAAATTGGTAACAAAAGGTGTATTTTTTGTAGACAAAAATGAGTGTGAGATATCTTCGCCTTGTCTTAATGGCGGGACGTGTGTAGATACAGAGGGTTCATATAAATGTAAATGTGTGGTCGGATGGACAGGACAGGATTGTCAGACAGGTAAAAAATAAAGACCTTAAAAGAATATTGTAAATTGATCGTAAATGGGACTCAAAAAAGACTTTTGAAAAAAAATTATCTGTCTTCCAATAAATAGTAAAACTTTTTTTTTTTTTTTTAAATGAAAGCAACACAATATTCAGAAGGTAAAGTTAAATTGAAATAAAAGCCAATTTTAAATTATATAATATAATCTTAAATTGTTTAATTAAACAGATGTGAATGAATGTAACCAGTTTCCCTGCCAAAATGGCGGCACATGTAACAACAATGAGGGGTCGTTTACATGTACGTGCAGGGAAGGATGGACGGGTGCCACTTGTGAAACAGGTATGATTACGTCAACATTTTATGTGTTCTCTTTTTTTCTCCCATTAGATAAGATTTAATCAGTATTGATATATCCACATTTAATTCAACAGAAATGAATAACCAATAATCAAGAAAGAATTTTTAATTTCCTATGAAATTAATGTTAATGATCATGTCGTTCTGTCATAGTGGATATAAAACAGATTTATTCGTCTTTATAATTTTTTACTTGAAAAAGCTTGCATTTTAACTAAAATCATTCAACTAAAGAAATCAAATAATTGACAGATGTTAACGAATGTGCAACGAACAACCCCTGTGTAAATAACGGAACGTGTTCGAATACTCGGGGCTCCTACAGATGTTCTTGTACTGCAGGGTGGACTGGAAAACACTGCGATAAAGGTTAGACAAAGTATTTACAGCGAATTAAATGATTTACCAGTTTTACTATACGTATATTCATCCCTTATTAGTTTAAAATTTCGTCTCGAAATCATCTCAAACTACATGGATAAGAAATGTGTTTTCTGACATTTTTCAGACAAAAATGAGTGTTTGACCCTACCTTGTGCTAATGGAGGAACGTGTATCAATAACGAGGGTTCCTACTCCTGTCAGTGTGAGAAAGGATGGACTGGTAAAGACTGTCTGCAAGGTAAGGAGTCAGCCAACCCTCCAGCCCCCTCTCTTAACATTTGCTCCCAATTTTTTTGTGTTGTTGTTTATTATAATTTTTTGAGTGCACAATTTTGATTCATTCAATTCAAGTCCATATACCAATGTTATTGAGAAAAATTCCTTGTCCTTGATGTTAAACATACATCTTTAATTGAGTCCATTTCAAAAACCACATCATGCAAAAAGGAATATGTATATGTATGTTCTTACAGATATCAATGAGTGTTTGTCATCCCCTTGTAAGAACGGTGGAACATGTCAAAACACTCAGGGTTCATTCAAATGTCAGTGTGAGAGAGGCTGGGAGTCACCAGACTGTAATAAAGGTAGGAATCTTTAAAGACTCATTTTTCTGTATTTCATAATCAGTGGGTTGTTTTGGAAGAATCCATTTTCTAAAAGTTGTAAAAGTCTATAATTCCAATCAATAAAGAACAAAATCTTATCCCAAAACCATGAACTGAGAACGGACAAGTCAGAATTTAAATTAGAATAATTTTGCAATAAATTTGAAAATAAAACAACATTTTCATCAGATGTTTATAATTGGGTATTTTATAAAATCATAACTTATTAAAAACAAGATATTTTGAGTAAACTCTGTTCTCAGATTATGGTCTTATGGGTGGTGATGAGTACATTTGAGATTTTATATTCATATCCCTTTATATTCATATCCATGTGATTGATTAATTAAACCTAGAAAACGTTCTTCATATATACATAATAAAAAGGGTTTGCGGCGAGAAATATTCGCGATAAAAAGGACTCGAAACTCGCGAATATTTCTCACGCGAATAATTTTAAGGTAGTTTACAGAAGATGACGATTTTTTTTGAAACAGATGTCAATGAATGTGAGAACAATCCTTGTGAAAATGGCGGGGTCTGCACAAACACTGAAGGATCTTATAAATGTACCTGTGCTGCAGGATGGACAGGGGCTAATTGTAAAACAGGTAAGTAGTTTTAAAATTGCTAGTGTTATTTTTGTATTGCAATTCTTATATATATATATATATATATATATATATATATATATATATATATATATATATATATATATATATATATATATATAAAATCTATATATATAATCTATATATGTATATATAATCAGTGTAGAGAATAATGAGTATGAATTCTTTTTTTCAATAGATATTGACGAATGTAAACTCAACAACCCATGTGAAAATGGTGGTGTTTGTCAGAATAATGAAGGATCTTTCATGTGTCAGTGTACGGAGGGATGGACAGGCCAGACATGTGGAGAAGGTTAGCAAAGATTATTTATAGATTCTTTTTTTATATATCCAAATAGTTTTATACATTAACCTCGAGGTTTGGTTCTGCTTGATATTAAGACTGATGCCTTCGGCGAAGGCATCAGTTGAATACTTGAAATCCAGCCTAGCTGAATCTTAGCAGAGACTATAGTATCGACTAAGATTATAGTATTGCAGAAAATAATTTACATGAAAAAATTTTCAAATACAAATAATTTGTGAAAAGGTTTGTTTTCATTTTTCCCTTATTTATTACAGATGTAGACGAATGTATTGAGAATCCATGCAGCCATGGTGCGTGTGTTAATCAGCCAGGATCTTACATGTGTGACTGTAAGCCCGGGTGGACTGATAAACATTGTGAGACAGGTAAGGACAGTTATTAAACTTCATCAAAATATTATATAAAATGTGACACTTTCCGCACAAATACAATTGAAAATTTATAACAAACGGTATTTTTTATATGCAAATTCTGATAATTTTGGTCTACTCAGATCAGGGTAGCTATGAGTCATTAATTTGAAATATCATTTGGTGTTTTATTTGAAGATGTTGATGAGTGCCTGTCTAAACCATGCCAGAATGGTGGATCGTGCCGAAATACCATTGGTTCGTATGAATGCAAGTGTACAGACCCCTGGTTTGGACGTAATTGTGAAAGCGGTAAGGACTTGCAAGCAGCATTTTTCTTAAAATCCAAATGAAGTTAGGATTCACCTCTTTTTGCATGTTACTTTTGCGCTTATGTTAATTGGAAGTTTTTCCATAATTACCTTGAAAATTTCATTTACGATTTGATGAAATGCTGTATATACTAGTATACAATAATATTTTAAACTGTTTAAAAAAGGCAATAAAATTAATTTCGATTTTTTTACTCATCTGGACCCTTTTTCGCAGTTGCGGTCACATATAATCTATACCCTAGTTGTATATACAAGTGTTTTAGATTTATTGAATTTCAACTCTCTTTGTTTGAATCTTGTTTATATTGCCTAAATATAATGTACATGTTTGTTTCACATACCCATGTTTTAATAAACTGTAAGGTCTTGGTAGTTTTTATAAATCAATTTGCCTATAAATTTAAATTACATACATGTTTATTATTTGTAAAATTTGATTTTTAGCCATGTTTGCAACCTCTGCACGTAAACAAATGGGAACCAAGAATGTGGACATCATGTGTGATTTAAGAAATGTTGAAGAATGGAAGCATTTTGATGTTGTGAGAAACAACGTACCTGTTATCCGTGTTAATCACAATGGCAGAGTTCAGTCGAGATTTAATCGGAGAAAGGTGATTGTAAAACCCAACATAGATGGACCTAATGCTCAAATCAATATGAGATTTGCCACCTTCCGTTGTCAAGACGAGGGACGGTATACCTGTGTGATAGATAAGGAACAACCTGAGGATATGGAAGCTATTGTTACAAGTAAGTTGTCATGTTTTTGATGAGTATACATAAAATATTTTACTTCTTCTGTATTTTGCATGATGAATGCTATGGTATAATGACTACGTCATTCTTTATACAGGGGATGGCTTGAAGAACGTGTAAATTGATCAATGTTTAATATGAAATCATATATTCCACAACGAGTCTTATTTCTTTCAGCTCCACCTCAAGGAAAACCAATCTTGTCAAAGATTGAGGAACTTTTTGGTGAAAATAATATTGACTTTAATTGTACTGGTAGACCAGGATACCCAGACGGAAACTTAGAGTTTGAAATCAAATTGTCAAATGAAACAGAATTCCGACCTTACCAGTTTTACAGTGCCAAAATTACAAATGAAGACAAAAACTGTTATCGAACTCAAACAGTTAATGCCACGTATCTATTTACAATGGAATGGAATCAGGCCAAAATTCGTTGCTTAAGTGGCGAAAAATATGATGAAACAAATGTATACCTCATACCACGTGAGTACAATTGCTTTCCCTATGTTTATACTTGTTTAATATAATAATAATGTTAAAATTTCTCTAAAATTAGCAAGCAAATGTTATTAATGTTTTGTTTAAAAGATTTTATTTTTCTTTACAGCCACGATATGTGAGAGAGTACCTGTTAATAGGAGTGTTCGACACCCTTATGATAAACATAAATACATCACGTGCACACGTGAGGCTCCACAAGCTCGATTCTGTCCTGGAACTACGTGTTTTGAAGAACGTGCACAACAATGTACATTTACTTGTAATGGATAACCTTTTTTAGAACTTAGCTATTTACTGTAATTTATTTTGTTTTTATTAACATTTTGTTGTTTTATATGAGATATTTTTTTTTATTGAAATAAATTATTTTTTTCTATTTTTTTTTTCATTTGTGAATAACGAGGGATACCAAAGGACAGAATTTAAATACCATTAACAGACGCAAGGGAAAAGGGGAACCAGTTCCTATTGTAGTCCACTAATAATGGCACTAGAGGGGAGTATATATTTCCTCTCTGTTTGTCCGTTTGTCTGTCCCTTTGTCATTGAGCCTGTCCCACTTGGTTTTACGGACGTATTTACCAGAAGTTTGCTGATATTAAGCTTATTTTATATGTGTGAGTGTACCCTGATGTTTCATTTGATTGTCATTTGATTGTCGATAATTTTGATAGAATTTGGGGCATTGGACTTATAGCTTAAATATTTAAGGCCAGCAACCAAACGGCAGGAATCTAGAATTCCTTATGCAACACTCTAAGAATGCCATCATTCACGTTGCTGACACCATTAACAATTCAAATTATCTATGAAAGCATTTCATCTTATAAAAGACCTCAATTAAGCGCAGACGTTAATTTGCTTTTCTAGCTTCCAGGATAGTATCAGTTATTAGACCAATATCAAAGGCTCATTTAACTTTTCTGATCTTTGATTGCTTGAAATATGTCTCTAGCTGTTCGCTGATCCAATTTCAACCTTTTCAGAAGTAAAGTATCCATTTTTTCAGGTAAAGGATCCATTTCACTAAAACTTCTTTTTAATAATGAAAGATCCGGAAAATATACAAGTTACAATAATTATTGAAGGGGCTAAAGGGGTCATAATATAACCAAATCCGGATTTGCACATAATGGGAATGCTTCACTATAATATGACTCGCAAGCCCTTGTTGTCACTGAGATGTTTTTATTTTTTAATTTTTATCTGTAGACCTACAGGTAAAATTGGTGAAATTTACCATTGTAAAATGCTGAGTGTATTCCTAGAGATTGTTTATTTTATATGTTTTTGAGAAACATTTATACAAAATATTTCTTTGGGCATGGTTTAAGCTTTGTTGATATAAGACATTACATTACAACCTTACTATTCTCTTCTAAATATAAACCGTGTACATGTTTTGATGTGCAAAGTAACGCTAGAATGAAATTCAATGTCAAAAACATATAAATACGAAAAGAAACAAGACCAACAGAAGTACCTGTTATACAAAGCAAGCATTTAAAATAAATTTAAAGTCTTGGACCGGTTTCTAAATATTGATTACTAAAATTAAACATTTAAACACATAAATTGAATGCCGCCGGATTGAAATGGATCCTATTTTAAAGGTATGACATTAAATTCCGTTCATCTATCTTATTTTTGCCAAAAAATAAACTTTACAAATTATACATCATTGGATTTGTAATAAATTTTTCAAATCTATCAACATTATTCAGATTGAAAATTTCTGTAAAGAAATAATCCAAGTGAAAGAGATGTAATTTGACAATTACCCTCGAGTATGTGAATTTCTATTTTACTAGTCACATATGCATGTGTAGATACCAGGATTGATATACTATATGGTGGTCTCATGTATCATATTCTAGCCGGTGGCAATCACTGAATTTCACCTAGCTGTCGCTAGAAAAAAATTAAGTGACATGTTGAGGTGGTTTTACATTTGATACCGTGAGTATTCCGTTATTATGATTAGGGTTTTATATTATATCTGTGGTGTCTTCATTATGATGAGGTGGTTTGGCATTATATGATGTGGGTTTTTGTTCAGTTTTAGATGATTATGTATTATATGGTGATTTTTCTATATCTTTTGATGAGGTGATCAGTTGGAATTTCTCACACTCATGTGCTCACAAAGACCATGGAGGATTGCCGATTGCAGTACCCTTTCTATATTGGCGATAATTTAAAAGATTATATAATGCAAAAGTACCACACTGGTGAAATACCCACAGCAAAATATAAAACCAGCTCATAATAATGAAATACCCACAGAATATAATTCAAAACCACTTCATTATAATGAAGAAACAACAGCATATAATGTAAAACCACCTCATCAAAATGAAATACCCATAACATATTATGCACAAGAGGCCCATAGTTTACATAGCGCCCTATGCCCGGGGGTCATGATTTGAGCAAGCTTGAATCTACACTACCTGAGAATGTTTCCATATTAATATGATCAATCATGGCTTTGCTGTACTTGAGAATATTTTTAAAGATTTTTCTTTTATATTCCTGTGTAAAGACTTTGATTACAGATTGTGGCCCCGCCCTACCCCGAGGGTCATGATTTGAATAAAATTGAATTTACACTACCTACCTGAGGATGCTTTTATATAGATATGACTAATCATGACACTGCTGTTTCTAAGAATTTTTTTTAAAATCCCTATGTATTCCCATGTAAAACTCTGATCACTCATTGTGGCCCCATTTTACCTCCGGGGGTCATGATTTGATCAAACTTGAATCTATATTATATGACGAACCTTTCACTTGTTTCACCTTTTCTAATCCAGTGATTATTGAGAAGATTTTAAAAGATGCCATTAGATATTCACTGACTATTAATCTCCCCTTGAAAGAGAACATGGCCCTTCATTTGAACAAACTTAAATTCCCCTTACCTAAGGATGCTCTGTATCAAGTTTAGTTAAATTGCCCACGTGGTTCTTGAGAAGAAGTCGATGACAGACGAAAGACGATTCTCTACAGATGGACACCGAGAAAAGCTCGCTTGAGCCCTCAGCTCAGGCGAGCTAAAGCCGTCTCAGCGTTGTGAAATAAACACAGCATATAATGCATAACAATCCCATCATAATGAAGAAACCATAGTATATAATGCAAAACCACCCAATTTATAATGAAGTCTCACAGCACACAAATAATAAAAAAAAACCAAATCATCATGATGAAAAAAAAAAACCCACACTGCATAATGCATGGCGCAAAACCATCTCATCTTAATGAGGAAACCACGACATACAATGCAAAACCACCTCATTTTAATGAAGAAACCACGACATACAATGCAAAACCACCTCATTTTAATGAAGAAACCACGACATACAATGCAAAACCACCTCATTTTAATGAAGAAACCACGACATACAATGCAAAACCACCTCATTTTCATGAAGAAATCACGGCATATAATGCAAAAACACCCCTTCATAATAAATATCTAAGACATCTGTGGCATTCCATAATTTGGCATAGGTAAGTTCTCGGGTTGTTTGTAAAATAAAATCAAAGTACTAAAAACAGTCAATGTTTCATGTGGAATTAAACTGAACTTGGCGAATACAGTAGATTCGATTTTACATGTAAATAAATACTTCAAATAACGTGCCATTCTTGCCTCTCAGTCATTCTAAGATAAAGATACCAATTCAGGGTATAAAACATGAAAAAAAAATACTTGTTTCAAATAGCAAAATGAACATCATAATTCTCTAAAGGACATATCGGTGAACTTAAAAAAAAGAATTGTCCACATATCTGGTATCGTTAACTTTTTACAACAATTTTGATATACCAGATTCCATGGTCACTTTCAGATAAGTTTCAGTTCTTTTTTAAATTTGCATTCTGTGCGTGAAATTTAGTACAAAATCGTTACGGAAGTTAATCGATTTTTAGGGACATACTATAATTTCGCCTAAAAGAAAATCCATGCATTTCTTTGCGAGAGCTGGTTTGATTTCCTTTTATATAGGATAAAAAAAACTTTTTTAAACATTCATTACGATCTATTTGGCACGCTTTTACTGCTGAAAATTTCATCTTGAAATTTGTAAATAAGTGAAGCGACACTGAAATTTGCAGTGGAATACGTGTTTAAACATTACATTATGTTCATATCAACACCGTAACTGCATATATATCGGTAAATATTTACAAAACCATGTGTGTATGTTAAGTCTTAGAGTTGGTAGAGTTGAGAAATAGATCTTTAAATTCATCGTTTAGATATTACAACGGTAAATTTGTAAGCGACATAAAAAAATCTTAATTTGTCATGTTTTTGTAGAATGACTGCTATAAGTAATTTCAGTTGTATCAACAAAAATTATTAGTGTAAATATTTAAATGTAAATGTAATAATTGAACTCGTTACCTTATAAACCTATCACAATACACGTTTGTATTAATTAATATATGACTATACAATTAAAATAAATACATCAAATATATGTGAGTTATTTATATGAAATTAAATATATTAAAATACGTTTTCAAATCCAAACATAAATTTTCAAAATATTAAATCAGCTTTGCTCCTTGTCATCCTTGAGCAAACAGAAGAAAAATGTCATAGATAATTCAGTGCGAAAATAATGTCCAAACAGTTTGAAAATGAAAAACGTCAGTCAACAATCGATTTAACGACAGATTGCATTTGCTGATAAGGTCATTGTATCGACCATAGAACTTGCAAAATTAATTTTGACTTTAAACGAGACTGTTGCTATCCTTGTACCATCAACTTATTTGTCAATAGATTGCTTCTTTTTAGAAATCCTTCATACGTAGAGCATGCTCATGTGTATCGAATCAACTGGCAGACATGAACTCCACATATAGGTGATAATGGTATATTGCTACATAAAGAGAAGTGGACGATAGAAAAGTTGAAGTCATCACTTTTATCTTAAAGTTTTGTTGTAAGGTTTCCATTAACTCCTTTTTCCAGTAAAATAACCAAATACGAAACAGATGTGGGGGACTTTGTGGTTTTGTTCGTTTTATTTCGTGTTCAAAGGGATATATCGAATCCACGTAGGAATGAAAATAATATTGTTAATTGATAAATCGTCGTCGATATATCTAAATGTTGAATTGAAGGCCACAGCAAGAGAAACAAAATCATTTACAAAGGTCTGAAATGAACCTCCAAAAATATATTTGATTAACCCTTTGAGACGTTTGCAATTGATTACAGAAGTTGTCACTGATAGATAGCTCACTTGTAAGAAATCGCCATTCCTTGTAATTTCTAATATGAAAAAAGAAAAACCAGGTATGTTCTTTG